TGTTAATAATATGAGTTATGGCATTCTAAGGTGGCAGTTACTATATATTTAGCGGTTTTATAGTATTTTCTTTCTTTACGTGACCTTAACACATTTTCATTATAAAGGAGAGAATTGTTTTGCACTGTGAAAATTAACATATATAAGGTATACTGCAGTAAACTATTTTTTGAAATATTTCAAAAAACGCTTGCAAATCATCTAAATTATGACCGGAAATTTTTACCCCTTTCTAGGCTCGCCTTGCATTTGCTCTAAATAATAATGTTCTTAATAAGTCTTATAATATTACTTTGATTTTTTATCCGAAATACGAATTGCTAGAACTGATATTATAAGTATATCATAAAGTGACGTTCATCATGAAACTCACATGAGGAGTGGCAGGCACGAATTTCTATATTTTAAACCGGGAGACATTCGAACACAGTTAACCCTGCAAGGAGATCGAACATATTTTGGCGAGAAAAAACTTTCATTGTTGGTAGTATAGTAGTTCATTGCAGAGAGGGTAATTTATACAGAAGTATATGCGGAGAAAGGGTGTCCACCATAAGACAGGTGTTCACTAAAGAGTGTTCACTTAGACAGGTTTTTACTAATCATCATAATTTTAGAGTAATTTCGGATATTGATGTGCAGGGTCCGATTACTGAAGCACATGAATCGGTCAAAATGGCTTATATTGATAACTTAATAACGTTCCATTCTGTAGTGATCAATTATTTTGATTATATAGTTTTGGTGTTATAATCCGTGAAATCTTATTTATAATACATTGAATAGGTCTAAGAGCATCTTCTCAAGTTCTCAGCCGCCGGCTAGTGTAATGTCTACCTTGAGTGTCAGAGTATAGTATATGCTTTACATGTAGACGAATTCGAAGCTCTCGTGAAAGGTAGCAAAGTCAAATTATTGGAGAGGGTAGAATCGTACCACAGATGACAACCTTTAGAGGCCTGACTCTTCCTCTGTTTGACATCATGTTTGGCATGCTTACTCTCAGGATGATCCTTTGACATATATTATATTATACAGTTACATAACGTGATCGAGTGTTTGTTCTCATCACTAACTAACGTTAATATAACAGGGAATGATACATTTTGTAGCAATCGGGCTGGTATTCTTGAAATATTTCACATTGTTCGTACCATCAACTTTTTTATGAAGTTTTAAACACAAAGGTGCGATAAACTCAATAGTTTATGTTTCGGGGTTCCGACATTATCTCGGCATATTCCTTGTCTTAGTCTACCCCAGCCCCTCGTTAAACAGAAGACATCAGGTGCGAATATAGAGTTAGTTTATCGAATAATTGAATTCAAATTGCAAATTTAAGTGTTTGAAAGACATAAATAAAACAAAATTATTACCCATTAATCCGGCATTTATTTTACTTATATGCCTATACTTTGACCAGACCTCACTCATATTTATAACAACAAATGCATTATTTAACCAACAAATGTATTCAGAGTTTGTAACATCTCAACTCAAACTAGGTTGAGGGATTAGATTGTCTATTTTTTGTAAATTATATACAGTGTGTCGATTTCTCAAGCTGTGCCAGCTTTTTCGTCCAATACTGACATGTTTAGTGCTAGTGAAATATTACTAGAGGTAAAACAAATGTTTATTGGGCAACATTATACCGATATATAACCATCGTGCTGTTACTCCAATATAACCTCATTTACCCGGGGTCCAGTCGACGAATTCCATTGAGGTAACCAGTGACCACTCAAAGAAATGTAAACAAACACTGATAAGATAAATCAATCATAAATGGGTGAATATGAATATCAAAAATTGATATTTCTGACCAATGGATGTAGCCTAGCAGCAACTGGTTTCGGAATATCCGGCATCGAAATGCAACCCTTAATTTCAATAGTTTGATTTTACTACTAGGTTTTGCGGCCCTGGGTACAAAATATAATCCATTATGCCCCTGTTTTTACCCCCTGTTTTTTCAACCTAATAGAAGATTGGCTCCAGGCCCTGAAGATGCAATTAAGTACAAGTTGTATCAAATATGTACATAAACGCGGGACTATATACGCACTGCATCAAGTATATGCTAAATGTATTATAAATAAATGACTTACTTTGTATAATAGTGGGGGGCCTGGGGGTTGTTGATATTGGTGCCGTGGGAGCAGGGACTCCTTGACAGACTTCCCAATAATCCGGGCAGCAATCTGGATTAGGCCTGTCGCAGAATATATCGCAGTAACACACGGTGTCTAATATAGGCATTGAACATTCATCTATTCTGCCTGTGCAACATTGATCACCTCTTGATCTCCTTGAGCAAAATTGTTGGCCCGCAAAATCTGCGAACTCTGGGGGTACCGCATAAACTACCCCGAAGTACATAGTGCAGACCCATAATATCAGTGTAGTCCTTGTCATTTTGTTTTAATTTCTTAGAAACTGTTGTAATTGTTCTGCTGGGCTGTTTTATCCAGTTATTAGGTATTGGTTACCTTTTCGGATTGACTCAATTAGAAATGTATCCCAATGCGCCCTGCCTTACTGGTCTGTCGCTATTCCTAACTGCCACCGCTTGCGGCCAATAAGTAATGAGTGGCCCGTCTGTACCAATAATGATAACGTTACTTTTTTCAACAAATTATCATGGTAGTAATCACTTGACCAACATTCGTTAAATTTTATGTTTCATATATAGGCTGTTGATAAATTCCCGTGATTAGTCATATTTTTGATTGACGAGTTTGTTCTATTGTTGAGTTTTGACTTCGACTGACTTTATCTGAAGAGCTCTCCCGGGTCACATCGATCTCTTACCCTCTTAAAACGCCAGTCTTGTTTTAGCCCTTGTTGTGAGTTGTTGTTATATTTTCTAAAAATGAAGAAGTGGGAATTGTTATACGTATATTAATTACTTGTACGTTGTTTTCTACCTGTTGAAATATGGTATACTTGAAAGAAACAAAGACTATCTCGACCTCACCTTCGATGTAGATAAATCACGCGAGCAAAAACATATGTTTTAGGCCCTAAGTTTATACTGTATATTACATGATGTAGTAAAAAGTTTTAAATCAGCGATATCAATCGGTCCCAAGGTGACCAATCTACATACATTGTAAAGAGGTATTTGATTTTATGGACGATACGAGGGTGATTCAATTAGATCTTGTTAAAAACCATTAAGAAACACTCACTTAAAGGGTTAAACATTACGTAAACATGAATCAAAAGTCTTAAATGCATGCCCCGATAAGTCAACACTAGTTTATCATTAGCAGTTGCAATGTTACCATCAGATTAAAACTAATTCGAAATGATATCGCCAAAAACCAAAAACAAATTGCTCGTCCCTCGTATCCAATTTGCTGAATATATATTATTTACCAAGGACCAGTCACGTTTTGCCATATGTTACAATTGTACCTTAAGCTATTTTCTTTTTTCTTTCAGAGTTTAAACTGTTATTTGTAAGAAGTGAACTTGAAGACCTACTATGCAAACAACCTAATATACCAGACAATCAAAGGTTTGAAATATGCGAAGTCGAGTTGAAAACTACGAAACTACAAAACAGATCAAAAGTAAAATGTTCTATTCAAAAATGGTTTATAGACCTATGATGGTCTATTTTGTGAAATAAAGGCCCATTGTATAAATCCGAAAAACTATACACAGACGAAACATGTAGTACGAAACATTGTATCTAATCCTTTGGAAATATTTTGTCTTGTGTTAAGGTGAACCTTCTACCCAGTAGAGCTCATATGCATGTTAGCAAAGTTACACGAAGGGGACAAAATATCAAATACACTTTGACAAGCCTTAATAAAAAAAATGATTATAGAACAGTATAACAAAGTGCATCATTTCCTATTATCAATCATGTTGCGTTCTTGATTATACAATCCATGTCAATGTAAAATCATTACAATTGTAAAATATATCACGAACATTGTTGACTTACGAATTCATTTTTGAAACAATTCATCAACCTTCTTATATGACCTTAATTTGAGGTTCATAAAACAAATATGTATAGAAATATTTTCTGGACATTAACCCATATCTGAGTTGTGAACGCGCAAAGCTGAATTACCACATCTCCAGAAGAATGTAAATACACTCCTCCCTATAAAAGTTTGGAAACTGTACTTATAAATTCTAATTTTAGACTAAAAACATATTGAGTTCCAATACATGAAATCCCCCAAATTTTTTTTTCTCAAAATCTCAAAAATTGATGACTGGTGAATTCAATTATTTATTTTGTCAAATAAAGTGCATTCATTTTATCGACTATAACATGTACATCCTTTCGTTTAATTTGCTGCATTCGCATACATTCTTTGGAATCTATAGAACTTCCTATCAGCGAAAATTCTCCAAAATACATATTCCCGACTTGTTGTGAATGAGGGAAATTTTGAAGGAAAAATCGTATCCATTGAAAGAATGTCGACTGATATTTATAGAATTTTACTGATTTTGCAGATGAAATTGGCGTTAACCCACAAAATCCAATGGGATATTTGGGTTGCCAAACTTATGGACGATAGTGAATTTTGTATATCACATACAGTATGTATTTATCAGACAGGTAATTAATTAATGCACTACATAGTTAATCATATTCTACAGACTAAACAGATGGTATTTTTGCATCTACGCTCGTGACGTAGGTCTGACCATGGTATATCATTTATAAAAGGAATAAGTTTAATGTCTTATAGCACCCACGCAACTTCAATACGTCATTATCGGAATTTACACTTAAAATGGATGCTACATTATCCTGTGCTGTAAAAGGAGATCATCTTTTGACTTTCAGACTGGAGGAAACAAACCATAAATTCAAGGATCTTTGATGCATGGCAAGATAACTTTGAATTATATCTGTTATAGCATTCTGATACTCATAGCATCTTTCTGTTTCACCTCAGGGCTGAGAAGAAATGAGATGTCATGGTGTATCATGATGCTGTTATAGCGTTTGATTGCGTCACCATCTAATGCGCAGCTCTATACGTCCATAAGTGTGATAGTCTTACCGTAATACGTAGACGACGATTATAAGAATGTCACACTTATGGACGTATAGAGCTGCGTCATAAATTATGACGTAATCAAACGCTATAAGTTATACGTTATACGGGAATACTATACTAGTACTCTCTGCCCTTTATTAACACTTTTTCACATGGCAAGGGCATAGATTTGCTTTCAGTCTGGGGGGGTGCAAACGCTCAAATTGTTTTCGGTTTTCAGTCAGGTGGGTGCGATCGTTGAAGAAGCAAGCCAAAAACAGATTTTTAAGATTTGTTTTGAATTTTACAAAATATTGATCTGTAAATGCGGGCGATCTTTAGCTTTTGAGAAGAGACGTGACTAATATCATGAGCAACTTGAGCATTGCTTTTAATAATTTTATGGCTCCTTAATCTGTTTTTTTTTCAAGATGTGATCAGCAGAAACTGATGAACTGACCACGTATATTACAAGGCAGCAAATTCCAAAATATTTCTCATTCGGCGCCAGCTGATTCAACATCTCATCATCACATGCATGCGTATCTTTACTCTAAATCATCTAAAAATACTAACGTATGTATGATGATTTTGGAATTCATACCCTGCGCGCAGAGTCTAGTTACAAACGACGAAGACGAAGATTTCTTTCGAGAAGGGAAGTCGAACGAATGCAAAGGGTAGGAATTCAGGGCCTAATATTAAAATACGATTTTCTCCGGAAACCCCGGTTTCTAATACCATGGCATTCTTGGGATGCACATTTAACGTAATTGGATCATATCTTAATGTCATTACACCGATTTATAAACTGTGCAAACATAGACACACTCAGCATACCAGGCTGATATCATCCATTCAAAGGTCTTCATTTATTACTCAATCCAGAAAGAAGTGAAATACCCTTGGACCAAGGATGGGCTGATATCATCTTAGGATTTGTGACTCCCTCTTAATCGGGATGTCATCGTATAAGAGCTCAATTTAAACGAGATTGGCAAAAGTAACTCATTATATCACGACATCTCAAACTTGAACAAAATATCACCACCTGCCATTTGCTACGCCAACCGCCATTCGGTCAAACAGCGTCCAAGAAAAGTTGGAATGGTGACATTAAGACAGAAAGATGTGATGAGTATCAGAATATGATCATTTTTACTGTTGCAGTGCTGCATGTAATTTTGTATACGTGTGCCATGATATATGAGTTTGGCGTATTTCTAAAGATTGTGGCTATTTAAATTGACTCAAGAGCCTTAAGTGGAGACTATAACCATGTAATGTCAGATAAGAGCATTTGAGGACCCAACTTTTTGACTTCTGCTAGTTGTTGCTACCGTTTTACAAAATAACAGTCCACACATTAATCTATATCCTGTCACTTTATCTTCTATGGCCTTCTCTATGGAATGATTTATTTTTTGTTTTCATCATTTTCAATGATCTTCAATCCTCAAGGCACTTAACGAGATATCACAAATATGAAATGTTTCATCTGGTATTAATGATTTTTCCTTATATAGAATACCTTGAGTAGTTCGTTAAGGTGGGACCAGTAAGACCCTATGCTCAAGAAGGCACTATCGCAAAAAAACTACGTGTATGTATAGTATGTTTGAGTTTAGAAGCCTGGGTACCCACTTTGTCTAACCATGCTCTCTCATTTGTTCTCTACCTTGAAATACTAGTATGTACATGTGCAGTAGATATAATTATATAATGAGTTACTTTTGCAAGTTGTAAAATAGAAAGAAGTTTCAAAAAATATCCCCTGTACCTACCTTAAACGTCAAAGTGTGCAGGTGCACCCGATCAACAGAGGGCAAAACAAGCTTGCAAAGTAATGTAGGAATACTTTACAAAAATCACAGGCAGGTGGCGTAATGTATGCTTTTTCAATGTAGGTTTGGAGCTGTAATTTAAGTTATTAGACTTAACAAAAATAGTTATCCAAAACAATGAAAGACATTTTAGAAATTCCAAATCTAAATCTGCGAACTATATCAAGGTCGTTCTTTTTCTTAGGGTGCATTCGTATTTTATTTGCACGAGTACTATATTCTAGTGTTATGGATTAACAGGAATTACATGATACGTCATGTGCCTGTGTTGAGAATTGTTCACACTTATCGACAAATGTCATATTCCAAATGACATAACATCCGTTTTTGTCGCAATGTTTTCATATATCCTGTAGTATATCAACTAATCTCTTAAAGCTACAAAAGACCGGTAATAAATGTGTCGATTTCTTTGCTTAGTTGTTCAGAATGTCTAAAGGCAATAACAATTCATCTTAGTCAAAACAAAACATTATGTTAGTATGCCTCTATGTTGTATGACATACTTGTATGTGTGTGTATCACAGTATCAAATCTGGGTCTTGTGATATTAATGGGATATAAATCGCCGGGTGTCAAATAAGATATATAAATCCTCGGATGTAAGAGGCTTGATCAGAGAAAACATTCGTTCCCATCAACATCAACTCAAAATAATCTCTAGGAATGCCCTTTGCAATCCTTCGATTCCGCTTCTAAAGATTCAGATACCGGTGTAATTGCCCCTACCCTCAAGGACTCAGAATCATAGTGTGATGATATGTTTGCCTCAAGCCCTGTCCATGCCCGGTCCGAGTCAATTAGAGTCATATTAGTAAAGCTTAAAATGCAGTGGACCCAAATGGAAGCCGAGAATAGTTTTTTTATTTACATGTCTGCAATTACAACACGCAATCACACTTACATACTGTAATAGTAAAATAGTTTCTTTAAGTCTCACACATACATATATACAATAACATATTAAAAATAGTTTAAAAACATACAAACTGTAACATTAACCTTTCCCCGGGGCAATTACTATAATGACAACGTACACGCAAACTCCTTAGTCAGAATTTAAAGTCAGAAATATAGCACGTAGGCTGGTCTGGTGTATGTAAATATGTATTTTAGTAAGTAAAATTCAGACTAGGAAGTAGGGAAGGAGGTGGTACTATACTATAATCTAGTATAACACTGGCGGATCCAGGCCATGCCCCCCCCTCCCCCTTGGGCCCAATTTTTGAATTTAGGAGCCAATCCTTTTCAGAAGTGCGGAATTCTTTTTCTGATTTGAAATGTGGGCCACCTTGTTAGCTCCAGATCCTCCAGTGTATAACGTAGTCTTAATCATCGTATTTCATCAAACAGTAGATTTATTGTGTGGATTAGTTTCGTTCGTTCCAAAATGGCCAATATCTGAATGTATTACATACCTAGCGAAGCATTTGTATGGAAGTCAATGGGAAAGTTAGCGAGCTATATCCACCGATATTGCCCGATTACCCCGATATAGCCCGCTTACCTCGTTTTGATATTAGATTTCTTAATAACCATGATAGTATCATGACGTCACGTCATTGATACAAAGTAACCATGGGAACAAAGGCATGTAATACATCAGTTATGTCACTATGACGTGAAATATGCCTTCGTTCTTGCCCAAATATAGAGCCTCCCAAGGTCGGCCTATATTGGGAGAACTCAGGCATATTTCACGTCATAGTGACATAACCTCTAAATACTGATTCCGATTCATCTTAGCTATACAGACTAGGACTCGTTCTACAGAAAGGATTCTTTAGTGAAAGAGTAGGAACAGTGAATACAACAATGATCGAAACTGACTCGGTCGATATTCAGAATTCACTTTTTAAAGTTTATGAACAATAATGGCCTTCTTGGAGATTATATATTTATGTCCTGGGCAAATGATGATACACTCGAGAGTGTTTCTCTTTGGGTTATGATCATCCCGACCCAATTTCAGTGTCTGCACTCCACGTGTAGTTAGCAATTCCGATAGCTGTGATGGTAGCATTAGAGTCTGACAATGCCCCTAGCGAGTGACCTTGTGTCAACATAATGGATAAATCACAACACCATTTTCAATTATTGTGTTGAACCCTAATATCAAATCAAAATGTATTTTATTAATATTTAGCCTAAAGCAGGTGCAGTAAGAAGGTCGGTTATTTTTCAAAATTTTTGGCACTAGTTACAGATTTCCTACCCTTCTCTATGTACAGCCTACTTTAGTCTTGGATGAGATACTTACACTTTTGTAACGGAAGAAGCAATTGCGACATGACATTGAAAATTGAGTTGTGTCATGTCGGAAACAAAGCCCCAAAGAAAATTGATATTTCCCATTCAATTGATACTCAAGATGATATTGATACTCATTACACCTTCCAATTTTGTAACTGCAATTGTGATCTATCTCTATAGTTCTATCCTATCTGCATTCAATCGACTTCCCTTCTTAAAAGAGAGCTTCTTCTTCAGTAGATTATAGTTACATGCATTACTAGACTCTGCGCTCAGAGTAACTCATCTTAAAGTTGAAAAAAGGAGAACATCTTTTTCAAGTCTTGGGGATCACTTGCTGATTCAACTGTTTCGATATGGAATTCGGATGTACAGGCTGAGCCAAAACCGCGACTTTATTAATTTTTGATCCAAATTCACAATTTGCATACCAAGTGAAACTTAGGTTGCAAACTAGGCATTCATTATGAATTTTACATTTCTACTAATTGTAACAGCGTCTCACCTTAACATGCGGTTTTCTTGAAAAATAAACATAATTTGCATAAAACCTGAGAATGTTTTAATTTTTTGCAAAACACAATGATTTTAAAAGTGATTCAATTTAAAATGTTAATATGCCACAGCAATGACAAATGTTTAACACACTGATATAGTGCAGTGAAAAATTGGAGTGGATCGAAATTAGCCTAAATCAGTAACTCAAAGAAACTGGTGTTTCTCAAAAGTTAGATAGTGGTCGTCTTAAATCATACAAGTAGGACAGTAAGACGACACCAAAATCAAAGCAATCTTGCATTTGCATGTGCAGTTAGGAAGATAGCTGAAAAAGACAAAATAGACTAAAATAGTACATCAATGAAGTGCCTAACAATGGAATATCTAGAAATATAAAGAACATTAATGTGTTCCACCGGGACAGCACATCATCACACGGGTAGCCGATACCATTGCATTTTTGGAGGAGAATGCACCTGGACTGGTATGGCTTGATGGCCACTCCGCTAATATTCCCGATGCAAACTCATGTGAATCTAGGGTATGAGAAGGTTTTCAAGAGATGTATTGCCAAACTAAAGCTGGCAAATAAGACAAGTCGGAAGAAAAAAATTGACCCACCCTATACTGGGTATCCTGGGTGTCTGTGTAAAGGGAAGAAACTTCACCGAAACCCTGTATAGAGATAAAGCACCGATCGAGACCTGTGCTTAAATCCTTAAACCGACGGTTACACATTGATAATATAGAATAGCAAACAATCTTGGTTGATAAATAGTCTGCCCACTAATAGTCTATACAATATGGAGCGTTCTTTCCATTTCTGATATACCTGCCCCCTTTACTAAATAATAAATTCTAAAAGCAGTCCTTCACGAGACTGGCCGAATTGTATGCGGCGCCAGCGATTTGCGATCTTTCTGATCCTTCAAATTTCTATACTAGAATATCTTCCCTTAATCTTGGCCCTGGATCAAAACTATAATTCGGTTGTTCGATGTCACTTTGAAGTTTAAGCGACTCTAAAACGCCTCTAAAACGTGAACTGCACTTTAATGGGAAACCTTACAAGCTACATTTAGAATCATAGATCAGCCTGCAGAGATACAGTATCACTGGCGGATCCACCCCCCCCCCCCAGGTGGGCCCAGAAAAAATTATCTTGCAGGGCCTGAACAAGTGGACCTTTTTGGGGCATTACTTGGTCTTTTTTGGGCGCTTATGGGCCAAATTATCAAAATTTGGGCACAATCTTTGGATATACATGTAGTGTCCGCGCTTTTCCCGATTTGAAATTTTGCTCCCCCCCCCTCCTTGTTAGCTTCTGGATCCACCAGTGCAGTATAGACGTTGGCGAATTGCAACTATTTAGATTAGAAAAAGATTTTTTGAATGTAGACTGTTTACAAAAAGCGTTTTAAATTGAGAACTAAACTCCAGCAGACGTACGCAAGTTGAAAATCTGCAAAAGATGATCTGTATTGCCCAGATGTTTAAAACATGATCGATTTTACTAGAGACATCGATATTCTGACAAAATGTCATCTGATCTTGATGAGTGGTAAAAGTCAAGTAAAAAAACTAAAAGTCCTCGTCCTGCCAAAAAGCCATACAACTGGTGTATGCAGTTAGAGTTCACACGTACAAATGTGTCGTTTCAGCGTGTAACGCGTGTCCGCAAACCAGCGGATTGTAAAAGCACACGCAAACCTTCGAGTGTCTACGAGTAAAAGTAGTGCTGTAAAAATCGGACACCTGCAGTCATCTTGATGATTTCTGAGATGTCAGATATAAAAGAGTACGATCACCATGGTATAATATTACAGCAATCAGTTCATTTGAGTTGGCAAAACAAATATTTAATAACTTACCCTCAGTGTCTTCAGTAAAGACCGGTTTTCTTTCTTCCGATATTTCCCAAAATGTATCTCCCCAAAATAGTTCTATCCCATTGTACGACAGAATGGGCCGAATATTGGCTAACAAACAAACAGCGACCACCCCTCTGTTTAATTTCTAGATACAAATCCGCTAAAACGATACCATAAATGTTTATTCTGCCGCCAAGAACTTCTCTATAGCTGTTACATAAACATTTTCTCTCATACTAAATATATCTTATACTCTCTTATACTAAATATAATCTCATTATTAACAATTTGACCAACATAACAAGAGGTCAAAATAGTTTGCATTTTATTTTCTCATGGCATTTATAATAGCAAATATAAACCCATTCGACTAAGAAATCCGAAATGTTCGTGATAAGACAATACTAGTACCTACAATATGACCTATGTATTTTAACTATGACATGTCCCGTATGGTCTGAACATCATCATGACCATATACATTGTCATAGCAACGTGTGATCGTTTGGTCTTAAAATGGGATCATTTGGAAGCTTAGCAACGTGCCCATTTGGTCTTAACAACAGGATCAGTCTTCAGTTAACAACAATGCAAATGAACGAATCCACCAAACGCAGCCTTGCGAATTGGATAAATATATTGTCTATTCTGGCGATTTCTATCTCTATTCGCAAGACTGCGTTTAGTAGGTTCGTTCATACTTGTATATTCAAGTCCTACAAAAAGTCGTAAAACGGGCTAAATCTAAACACAACTTGTTTAGGTGTCTCAATATTGTATTTGTATAAAGTTTGTGAAACAAAGGGTTTATCTTAATTTTCATTTATTTTGGGGGCGTTTTGTTTTGATTTTTTGTATACTTTTTGTTAAATCAACCAAATTTTCCTTTGAATAACTATAGTATTGAGGGGTCTAAGAATATATTTTGTTCCAACAAGGTTCGGAAAGATATTTTATTTCATTCTCAAGAATTGGTAGAAAGGAACAAAAAACAATCGCACTAAAAAACAAAAAATGTTAACAAAAACAGTTATTATAAAATATACATAGATAATTTTCGCATTAACTTGCATGTTGTCAATCAGTCAACATTAAATAAAGGACCGTGTTTTTACAGAATGTTTTCAATAATTGGTTTAAGAGAAAAACATTGTTGAATTCAGTTCACCATATCGATACCAATCCTTTACATTTACACATTGGTGTCGTCAACGGGAATCATTATACCGTATTCATGTCTATTGAATGAATACTATGCTGGCAGTTTTAATTTCGATGCACAGTAGGCCTATAAATTAAATGCTTTTTCAAAAAAAAGATGTATGTCATACATGTTTTAACTCCAAATATCTTATAAGAAACGAGCTTGTTTAAAATATGGATCAGAAAACCAGCTTGAGAACTATCAATGGTATATTACTATTTCTGGTGTAGTCTAAGAAAACACTGTACCTGAATTTTGAAAAGAGCTACATAAAATGTATATGGGCGATTTATACGTATACGTTGTCGTTTCGATGTTATATGCTATGCTTAAACTCTCCAGTATTTATGCAATACGCCAATCTCATTCGCAGTTCGTTCATGTAGCATGGGTCGATATAAACACGTACTGCGATTACGTCGTTAACGTCGTTAACGCGTCCCTAGTAAGGTCGAAATACGACAATTACCGTTCGCAGTCTAGTTGGTCATCTAGTTTGAAATGGTACAAAATTCTAAAGCACGTTCCCGTCCGAGCATGTCCATGAAATTCGTAAATAGACCGTAGAAAGTTGCAGTACTACGTTCATTCCGTTCGCACAAAGTTTAAAACCAGTTCGGCAACGTTTTGAGAAATCAAAGGCAGTGACAACTAGTTTGGTGTGATAGCTATTTTTGCTAAGTCGTTCATAAGCTGGTTTTATTCCGTCTTCACAACGTATCCAAGCAGTTACGTCCTTAATCAGTTTTAACTCGTTGGCAATTAGTTCTACCTCATTCTCAATGCGTCCATTGGCTTAAATCCTTAAATGACCAGAAAGTAACAACGCATAGGCACGGTGTTATAGCATGACGGTTACGACAAGGCGATTTGCAAAATTTTGCGGTAACAATAACAAAAAATGGCGGATTTGAAAGACAACGTGTCCTCTTTCTCGCCTGTAGGCAAGATTCACAGATAAGATTTCCTTTTCAACTAGTTCCATTCGGTGACGTATATATGGATGGTTATAAAGACTGGGTCAAATCTGCCAGGTGGTTTTCTAGAAGCGGAATATAAGCTGTAAACTTACCGACTGAGATGTCCAAGTTCATATTTTTTAGTCCATTCTCGTGATTTCTCAGTATATGTGCCTCAGAGCCACTCAAACTATTAACAGTAAGTAAACTGTGTATATAAACAAGCCATAAAATGACAAATCCAGAACAGGAACATGGTCATATTGTAAATAAGGTTTCAAACGCAATGTTGTTAGACGACTGCGTATGAATTCTATAGACGGTAACGTATTGTATTAGATGTACATTAGATATTTAGCGGACGGTTACGTACATGTACATCTTTCAAATTAAGGTTGCTAGTTCTGATAGCCTCTTTCCATGTTATTGTTATAATGGGTAAAAAATGGAATATTGAATTGCTTATATTTGTTTTCAGGACTCGCAAGAGACGCTCTTGTTTGATACTCTATAGGGCAAGGATCGAAAAAATTGTGTCTTGCTTTATTTATGAAACCAATTCAAGTCAAAAAGATAGCAATGAAGAGGGAAAAGAAGAATTAGCATCAAGTACTGATGAATATGACAAAATTAATAACAATGAATCTGGGATACATATTTTAACGAGGTTCGCGTAACCGTCAATCAATTTTTTGCGTAACTTAACGCAAATTAAAAATACAATATTATGGCTTAAGTAGAACATATTAGGTGGTTCCCCAATGCTCAATTGGCGTTTTATGATCGTATGTAGGTTACATCTATATACCTCGAGGTCGTTAGGCAATGTAGATCATGCCCTAACGACAAAAATAAACAAATTACTCGTGTAGTTTTGAATTTCAAACTCAACAGTTTTTCGCTTATTTCATGTTATCCCCGGGCATCAATTTGCAAAGATATATTACTAATATACATTACTAAGTGCATCACCGAATGCGATGCTTTCATAAATCGTTCATCCTTTCATTGATACACAGTAGAAGAAAATAATGCACCAACCTTAGTTTTCTGTTTCATCGCAGCCATTTTGTTGGATAAATCAGTGATCGTAGTCGTCTGATCTCGTTTTCAGAGGTCTCGTAACCGTCATGCTATAACACGGTGATAGGGCTAGCTACAGTAAAACGCCCTTCAGGGTTCAGAGTTTTTATTGAGGTATTAAATCAATCGTTCATTTGAAGATAAATCGAGGCTTCAAAAGTAGTCACCGTTGAATCAATTCCTCGCTTCATTGAATACATTTACTACCAATCAAAAGTTACATTAGAATCACGTCGAACTCCCACAGCGCGTTTCGCAATGTCTCACGTATGTCCTAAGTCCTTTGACACTGGCCTCCCGGAGAGACAACAGAAAATTTCACATTACAGAAATATTTACATGACAAGTACCTGGACTGACTTGTAAGTAGTGTTTTGATCAATAAGAACATGCATAAATTGTATTTTGACCACATAATCACCGAACTGGCAACATGATCATACGGTCTTAGCAACAGAATCAATTGGTCTTTGCAACGTGGTCATTGTAACTACAGTTTAAGGTGCAGTGGTACTTAAGGTTCAGATGGAAAGTAACATTTTGGTAAAAAATTGCTATATCTGCACATGTTATTTTCTGGTACAAAATTAAGTATGAAGGCATGTGTGTATTTCCTTGCCTTTTTTCAGGAAAGTATCATTACATTGTCTACTTTTAGTAAACCTGTAAACAGGTCAATGGTAGCTCCTGTGGAAACTTTAAAAGAAAATGAGTGGTATCGATATGGTGAACTTTTTGAACACACACTTCTCTTAAACCAGTCATAAAAAAATCTAGATTTAACACATTGTCAATTTAATGGTCATCTTTTGAATGGTAACAATATAATTTAAAAAAATATATATACTTTCATCTATATTGTTTTAGAAAACACATCAAACACTTCATTTGTTCTTGGTATCATGTTTCCAGAGTGAAATGAAACATCTTTCCGAACCTGTTTAGTTCTCTCAATATCGTAATTGTGCAAAGGAAATTTTGGTTGATTTTAAAAAAGTATCTTGTTAATGAAATAAAAGTAAAGGTTTATCTTGATTTTTATCTATTTTGGGGGGATTTTGTTTTAGTTTTTTGAATACTTTTTTGAAATCAACCCAAAATTCATTTGTATAACTATAATATTGAGAGGATATAAAAACATGTTGTATATGCTATTTTGTTCCAACAAGGTTCGGAAAGGAGCAAAAACAATTGCACTAAAAAAACAAAAAATGTTAACAAAAACAGTTTATAATATAAAATATTTCTAAATACTTTTCGCATTAAATTGTTGTCAATCAGTCAACATAACATAAAGTACCATGTTTTTTTACAGAATATTTTCAATAATTGGTTTAAGAGAAAACGTTGTTGAATTCAATTCACCATATCGATACCTATCCTTTGGAAAAATAGAAAGTGTGAAATATCAGAACTTCCTGGAGTTCCCATTACTAAAAGAAGACAATGTAATGATACTTTCCTGAAAAAAGCAAGGAAATTAACACATGCCTTCATACTTTATTTTGTACCAGAAAATACAGTGTCATGTGCAGGTATAGCAATTTTTCCCAAAAATGTTATTTTCAAGCTGTACCTTAACAGGATCAATAAGTTTTAGCAAAATTGTCATCTTGGCTTGATCTAGCAACATGATCATTCGGTCTTAGCAACATGATCATTTGGTCTTAGCAACAGGATCAATTTGTCTTAGCAACACGGTCATTTTAATTTAGCAACACGATCATTTGGTCTTAGCAACAGGATCAATTTGTCTTAGCAACAGGATCAATTTGTCTTAGCAACACCATTTGATCTTAACAACAGGATAATTTGGATCTAGCAATATGATCATTTGGTCTTAGTAACATGATCATTTGGTCTTAGCAACAGATCAGTTGGTCTTGGCAACAGATCACTTGATCTTAGCAACATGATCATTTGGTCTTAGCAACATGATCATTTGGTCTTAACAACAGATCAGTTGGTCTTGGCAACAGATCATTTGGTCTTAGCAACATGATCATTTTGTCTTAGAAACATTAACAATTATTCGTCGCAATATGACCACAGCAATATGACCTGGTCTTAGAATGATCATTAACAAGATACCAAAAGGTAACAAAAATATTATGTATTATCTGATTAAGATTTATTACACTAAAATTAGTCAGTCATGATTTAACAAGACTTCATCACCATACATGATTTACCTTCTAAATCATACATGTGTCTTTCCTTTCCCTCATATTACATAATTATGTTAGAATAGACAGAAACTTCAAAAATAAATTTCAATTCACGAAATGTTCAGGAATAATCAGAACTTACAAGTACTGGAAAAAGCAAATGGTCTCACTTGAGACTTTAAAAATAGGCATATAACAATCCTTGAATATTCAAGTGAAATATGAGATCCAATGCCCTATTCTACAGCACATGAATTCATATCAATGAAGTCTATTGTCAAGTTTTAGTAACTTTCAGAAATTATGAATCATTTTGTAACTGGTGATACTGTACATACTATAAATTATTTTAATACATACACTTTGACAAACAAAAAGTGCATATAATCTTATTATTGTGCAATACATATAAATACTTATATATTGTCTCTGTTAGCAAAATTTGTTATTTGCTCCAAGTTGAACTTCTATCTGTGGTGGTTCATGAACCATTCACTCTGCATGAACATGAACATGTGGCGGTTCATGTTGTCTTAATGTCCTAAATGTTGAGGCCAAAGCAAAAGCATATAGCATCGATATTCCACCCAGGGCTAACGTTGATGTAGCATTAAAATAGTTTCTGTACATGACACGACAATACCACACAAGACCAAGTATAACACCAAATAAAGGCAACATCAGCGCACTTAAGTCTATTTCTGCCTGATCTTGGTAAACAAGTTCATCATTCTGCCGTTGTGGGTCTGATAAGAGACAATGGATCGCACTGTTGTCTTGAATGTTGTAAGCCTCTAAGGTTGCCAGGTCATTGCGCAGTTCCTGACCATTGAATATGAATCGCACCAATTTATTTTCTGCCAGCTCACCTGGGAAATGGTCACTGAAACATGAATAATGATATATTAACTACCAGTAGAATTTCCTTATTTAATTGATTTGAACCAATACTGGGCACTACTGGGGTTCTATCACTTGTTGTTGAAGTACTATGTAAGTCCTTTTTCTAAAATATCCTTTTCAAGATTTCAATTTTCAAATCTATCCCAGGGATTAGACTTTACTGTTCATTTGTGGTACACAGGCAAATTATATTGGACCCCGTACAAGCCCGTACGGAGCTCGTTGTGTCGGAGCCTGTACAACCCCGTACGGGCCTTGTTAGAGCCTTGTAAGAGCTTGTGAGCCTCGTAAGAGCTTGTGATTAAAAAGCCCGGAAAAGCTCGTAATTTTCAACCCCCGTACTTGACCGTACGCTGCCCGTAACGAGCCCCGTAATAAATCGTAATTTTCGATCCCGTACTTGCTCGTACGGTGCCCATTACAAAGCCCGTAATAGCTCGTAATTTTCGAGCCTTGTACTTTCCTGTGCGGGGCCCGATGTGATTTGCCAGTGTATAGATGTCCATCCTTGAACTATAAACTATTGTGCATTAATATTCATTGGGATCATACTGTATGTACTATGTACCTGTACATATAATCAAGAAACTATTGGATTATAGTGTTGTTTACAGCTACATGTACATAATAATGATGTCACTTAGAGATCAAAACTTAAGTATATTAATGATACAGTGCTACAAATAACTTACCGTCGAAAATTTTGAATTGTTGTTTCAGGCTTGGCAAATACTTGTCGTTGACGTTCATCTAGGTATTTAATTCGAACTTTTATATGTCCTTCTGGTATTCCATCTTCAAAACTAGCATTTTCATTATTAATGCTTGATGCTGTTCTTTCACTGTTCTCACTGGTTGGGGCAGCTATTGTTGTGGGTGTTACATTTTGTCTATCTTGTTTGTTTTGAGTGGATTCTGCTTCAGTTTTATCTGCTTGAGGAGCTAGAGTAGGACTTTGTATACTTGCAGATGCATTCTGACTAAAAAATTCCACTCTCCTTTGCCTCAATTCACTTTCATTTTGTGGCGGTTCTGCAATCTCGCATGATTCAATATTTGATTCATTGTCCTCAATATTTGAATCGTTATCTATGTTTATGTCCTCACTATTTGATTCCTTCTCAAATTTAACATCCTCAATATTTGATCCATCAATTATCTCATGCTCAACAGAACCATTGGCATGATTAACCTCTTCCTCCACATCCTGAGCTACTTCTTCATGGTTATCGGTTGCATCATTTTCTGTTACATTATTCTCAGTTCCAACTGTTTCAGTATTCAAATTTTCTTCATTTACTTGTTCAGTGGTATCATCTGTTTGCTGTGCTTGTCTTCTCTCAAATATGATGACACTAACAAAGGGTAGGTCTGCTACGCTAGTGGAGACCCATGCAACAATGGCTAAAAGCAGGACTGAAAGGACTGCAAATAACACAAGGACCTCATCTCCTATCCCCTCTATCAATGACATCGCCTGAAAATGGAAAAACGAGTCTCATTTAAACTCTATTTTAAGATGATTAAAAGTTGATCAAATCCATAAATTTGTCCACTCTTCAATAATAAAAATGCTCTCTTTTTGTCAAGGAAGTGAAATGACAGGTTTTAAACCAAAGCGAATACATGTTTATATTGTGGATGGATTTGGATGTCCATTGTCAACCTCTAATTAGTAATTCAGGCATGTTATTTTAGTCTGCAATATTTGGAACGACCCCTGGATTTTTGGCACCATACATGAACTTTCAAGAGATCTCATGATATCCAGTGTCAGATATCATTTACTGTATTAAAGGGGCAACAAGGTAGTGGTGCTACGATAAATCGGCAACTCGAATAATCACTCGTTTGGGGAAAAAAATTTGAAATTTGATGTTTGTTTTCAACTCCGATTTCGGCTCAAATTGTGTACCATTCGAGTTGGGTTATGTCAATTCGAGTCAGGAACACTATTTACTATAAAAGTACTTACATCTTGATCTATAATCAGCTAATAAAACGTAAAATAACATGTAGAAAACAATTTGTTTTCTTCATTTCTTTTACTTCCGGGATCTAACCTTATCTCCAAAAGCAGTTCGTTCAGTGAGCTCTGGACGAAATGCTACAGTAGGATAATAATAGGGTCAAATTTTACTTCCGGGCGTCTTTTTTATTTGTTATACGCCTTTAGAGTTGATAAAATAAACAAAAAACATGTTTGAAGGTATGTAACACATTGCACTTTATTTGTTTTTTCATAACATCGATGATTTACATCAAAAAAGTGGTTGGCAGCGGGTTGGGAGATTCCCTTCAAAACTTTGGAAAAAATCGAATTTATTCGATTAATCGTCGTCAGTTTGGTCCCGATAATCGTGTCAAATTCGAGCGAGTCCCACCACAACAACAAGGACTGTAGAGAGAAAATTCGAAATTTTTTATTTTTTCTGAGGTATCAGGTCAATATTTGGCTTAAACATCTTCTTTGGCATACCTTTTTTCTTAAAACATATGGATAAACGCTAAATTTCAGCATTAAGAAGTGTAAATTCAGTTCAAAGCTTCTATAAAGGGAGTCCCACTTATGGATTTCTAAGATTTACCACTTTCAAGAGGAATATCAGCTGAAATAATGTTCATCCGGGGGTTTCTTTGTAGATAATAAATATATATATGTTAGTCTTGATGAAAATACAGATTTAATATATATTGACACTGGTCGATGATCGTTGAATGGCCCATCTGCACTAATTGCTGCACCTTTAATATATGATCAAAGAATATTTTTTCCTCCATATTGTGAAACTATGAGTGTGAAGTCTGAACTTATACCCTGCATGCAGAATCTACTTATTAACTACCCTCTGCCTAGTATAGACTATATTACAGTTTAGCAGCCCCACCCCCATTACTCATGCCCGTGACAGCTCGGGTCCTAAATCACTTCACACGCACCGCACTGACCTATTCTCAGCCAATTATCGAGCTGAAAGGAACAAGTGCTAAATGCGAGCACAATAATAATGCAATTGCGTCAAAGATAATGACCATAAAGAAAGTCGCCCTTATTTCAACGACGATCTCTGATTGGTGCGGTGAGTTAGTTCAGAGATTTATTGAAAACAGAAAGAGTGAAGACGAAAGCCCATGCTGTGCCCAGGTGATAAATCATTTCAAATCTACCACGCTGCACATTGTACATGTATGCAGTGATGTCATAGGAAATGACCATGTAGAAAGTCTTCCGCATTTCGACAACAAACTGATTGGCTCGGTGAGATCAGAGGTTTATTGTAAACTGAAAAATTGAAGATGAAGCTTTCTTGAATGAAGTAAAGTCGATGCAAAGGATACTGAACTTCTGAAGGCAAAGCGAAATACGGAAAAATTGAAAAAATCATAAGAAAAAATTCGGCAACTGTGAATTTGGAGTCAGTATTCGTTTTGCTGTTAAAAACCAAATATACCTTGATGTAAATTGACTTGATCTAGAGATATACATGTTGACAGAATTCTACATTGCTTACCTTAGTAGAGGTTGGGAAAACCTAAGAATTACAGAAAACTTTTGACAGTAATAAATTTTTTTGACTAATGACGTCATCAGATTTAGTACATGTGATATGTACACACCGATAACACCTATTCTATTCCTTCAGTTTTTTGAAACCAAAGTAGAACAATGTGTCAAATGTATATTTGGATTATGTTCAAATAACAACATGCATGTTTTGGGATGAGAAATTATGTTTTACTCTGATAATTTTATTAATTAAAACTCCTGTACGCTCACAATGTTGGTGCTCGTATTGTAGCGTAATCTGGTAGATTCCTTTAGATAACATGTTTTCAAATGAATCATTTAAGGTACAGCTGGAAAGTAACATTTTGGTAAAAAATTGCTATACCAGCACATGTTATTTTCTGGTACAAAATAAAGTATGAAGACATGTGTCAATTGCCTTGCTTTTTTCAGGAAAGTATCATTACATTGTCTTCTTTAAGAATATCTAGTAGGAGTTCAATGGGAACTCCAGGAAATTCTGATATTTCACACTTTTTATTTTTCCAAATTTTCTTTAAAAGTTTCCAGACAACACAGGAGCTACCATTGACCTGTTTCCAGGTTTACTAAAAGAAGACAGTGTAATGATACTTTCCTGAAAAAAGCAAGGAAATACACGCATGCCTTCATACTTAATTTTGTACCAGAAAATAACATGTGCAGGTATAGCAATTTTTTACCAAAATGTTACTTTCCAGCTGAACCTTAAAACACTTTGGAAAACGACCTAGTGTTACCAGTTTTATAAGAAACCAATGTAAGTAATCGTTCATATTTGTGAGATGGTTGTGACACTCTGATTTCTGAGCTCAACCATCTAAACCCAACGTGTACAGTGGGGGACATAAAGAATTCGAATTACAAGCTGGGTCCGCTGTCGCACATGTAATAAATTCTTACCCCAGTGTATTCAGTGCTCTATTTTCTCAGTCCTAGTAAGTCCAGATATACTGGAATTCGTGTCCATAATGACAAATAAGAACTTAAAAATTTGAAGTGGAATTCACATGTTATGCCAACTCTTCAAATGTTGAGGTGATTTTGGAGCATGATTGCGCCTAGACGTGGATCTACGGCTCTAGTGACTTATTTGACTATCGGAGTTCCAGGCCTGTCAACTGTCCCGCAATTTGCGTATTTGTCACGCATTTGCTGAAGAATTTGAAGTCACGCCAGTTTTTTTTGCGTGACAGAAAATGTCACGCAAAATAAGCATTTTACCTGGCAATTGTCAAGCAAAAATATTTCTGTAGAAATTTTTTCGAAATATGTTTACGATACGGTAAAAATACGAACGTCGGAAAAAACCGAACGCAATTTGGTCGGATTTGTCACGCGAATCCCGTATGTGTCACGCATGTTCATTGTTCATACCTACCCCCCCCCCCCAAAGGTGTTTAAAAGTTGGCCAAAGGTGTTCAAAATTTGGACAAAAGTGTTCAGATTTTGACTTAGGTGTCCAACATTTTGAAGTCACTCATATTAGGTGGTCCCAAGTTGACAGCCCTGGAGTTCTGATAGGGTCACTAGAGCCATGACAAATCTCAGATATATAAATAAAGCCCCAGAGGCGCATGAATGCACCTAGATTGCGCCGCAATGTGGATTGGCTCCCAGAATGCCGTTCCGCCATTTTGAAATCTGCCACGAGTAAATTTGGTGACCTGATGTTGCATTCTGGGAGTCAATCCTTGAATCACAAACATGGCGATTTATGAAAACATTCGTTCGATTTGGTACATGTAGGGATCCAACATTTGCAGGTATGAAGCATTGGATTCATTTATTGCAGTGTGGAAAATAAGCATTTCTTGTGCCTGGACAAATTTGTCCAGTCACTTTGAAGCACTCCAGACAAATTCTTTTTTGACTGGTCAAAATTCTGACCAGACAGTTTGAAAACACACTGGACAATTTTTTTTACTTGGTCAATGTAAAAAAAAATATATACATGGAAACAGAAGGGTTGGGGGGGGGGGGTTATAAAATGATTGAAATTCTTAACCATTGAAATCTATATTTTGCATTGTTTCATTTGTTGACAACTTCTTTCTCAGAAGACAATTTTGACCACACAGTTTGAAACAGTCTGGACAAATTTCTTTGTCTGTTGTCTGGTGCTTATTTCCCACACTGTTATTGTGCTACTTAAAGTGAATGGGAATTATTTTTCTACCGCTTGGGAGAGTTTGAGACTCGAAACTTAGAATTTAGCTCATTGTGACAACTTTTGAGGGTTGAGATTTATTTTTGTCCCCCACTTTAGATACAAAGCCAAACAAAGCGCAGGTGCTCACTGGGTAATAAGAGTGTCAGGCTTCCCTGTAAGTAAATCAACGTTTATAATGAAAGGGGTTTTAGGTGAATGTAGTATACAGACCGAATATAATATTCAGACGAAGGATACAGTCTAGAGGTGAATGGGGCCTGGGTTGCACGACTGAGACGGTTTCAATGAACCAATCAAATGACATATAATTTGGAAAAGTGTATGTGCATCATCAAAAAGATAAGATTAATGTGTGATTCATTGGGTTTCGTTGATTTTTGAGAAAAATGAGTTTCAGTTCCTGGCCTGGCAATCATTTTATATTGACAGTTGGTTATAAAGAGGAAAGGAGGGATAACATGAGCCTCACAAACCCCCTCTCGCTATACCCATGGATACTTGCATGTATCTACATGTATGAGATCTACACATCATTAAAGAAATTTACATGTACACTGTAGTACCAAGACCATCTCTGCATTCTGGTCTTGCGACACATACAATAGAACAACATGTTATATTTGAAAATTCTAAAAATATTGGTGCTACGCACATATTTCTTAATTCTGTATATTCTAAACACCAGCCTCAACATTCTCTCAAAGCCAAAAAACAGATGTACATGGTACAGTATACTCTACAATCTTTGAAATCTGCCAGGATTTCAAAATGTCAGAAATCAACTTTTGAATTTTTTCCGAGTAACATTACCAAGTCACATTACATTCTGTATCTTTGTATTGAAGAAACTGGATGTAATTTCATTCAGTAATGCTTGTGAATATTATTGCAGGACGAAACAAGTCATATGTATCTTAATCGGGATTTGAAGGAAAAGTGAACATCAGAGTTTTCAAATTTTTTTCAAATTTCAGCAGGGTGGATGCAGGGCACTAGAATTGAACCAACGACAAGGCAGGGATCTTGGGAGGTCACAGTAATAGTGTACTCGGCTAGCGAAGAAACCGTATGTGACCTCACTTTAGTGCTACTCACACTGTAATTTTTGTAGTTGATGGCATTTTGAAATACTGGCTGATTTAAAAATTGAAGTGTAAAGTATAAACCTCTGCAGTTTGAGACAGCCACAACTTTTTTGCCTTTGGGAGAAAAGTTTCAGGTGGTGCTAAGAATTGATTAAGGTAAGAATCAGGGCCATCTGAGCACCAATTCTTTGAAACATAACCATGCATTGGCTTTTCAAGAGAAGAATATGCAACTTCCAATGTCAATCATGACATTCACATGCAATATATAACTCTGAATGGAACAAAAATAACCATCGTTACCCTAGATTAAAATTACATGTGCTTGTCTATCATGTAGTTTCAGAATTTCATGCAATGTCTAGTGCCCGGGGGCGGGGCAGATATGGTTCGGGGAATCGTAATTTTGGAAGAAGAGATCACACAAGACAAGAACACAGTGAACATGACAGTGATACAGGTGAGTTAATCCATGTCTTTTCTTCTATCACAATACTTAAGTTATTGAATGATTTGAAGTACAATACAGGATATATTTGCTCGAGAAATTCCGTATTGGAACAAGATGGAGTCGAGTGCCAATACAGAATATAGAGAGCAAAATATATCCTGTATTGCACTTCAAATCATTCTATAACATTTTTATCATGTGATCCTCTGTATTGCTACTGAAAATGTCCCCTCCGTACCATTATTTTCTGTATTGCAATGGAGATGATCAATGAGGACAATCTCAGTAGCGATACAGATTGGTACAGCACAAGAACTGACCAATCAGAAGGCTTCATTTCACAGATCATACGATAAATGTACATGTAGTTTTAAATCTAAGTCATCAAACTGAGATGGTCATCCTGTTTGTCAAACTCATAGGGTTTATAAGACTTCAAGAAAGGGTGTCAGGATCAGGATCCATTTTGACTGTCTGAACAAATTATCTAGTGTACATGTACCTTATGAAAAACCATTATGATTGAACAGTTGTATGTTTTTGTATCTTTTTCAAGGAAGCTATGGCTATGGAGGAGGGCATGGCAGAGGAAGGGGACGTGGTGGTGGTGGAAGGGGGCGGGGCCGGGGTGGAGGAGGCCCTCCCCCTGGGCTGAGAGGAAGAGATATTGGCATGTGGTATGCCCAGAAATCCAAACAGAAGACTCAAGAGAGAGAAGAAAGAGAGGTATATGTACCACAGTCTTCTTTTGTTCTCTTTATTTAAGTTCACTGGGAACTACCCTCCTTTGATGATAAGTACGGTACTATGTTTCTTCAACTACAAACCTTCTTATTTGTATCGTAAGAATTATATGGAACATACGTGTGTCACAGTTTTGCAACATTGAAAACCAGAGTAACATTACTTACATGTATTTCAAGAAACTACTTGCATCCTACCAAAAGTATGAACTATTGACATATTTTGACCAAAAAAGCCCCCTGATGCAAATAACCTTGGAGGATCAGGGATTCAATGTTTTTCTGCATTTTTCCATAGAAAATGGTTGTTACACTGGATAAGGAGCATGAAAGAGAGATCAGTCGTCTCTTACGAGATTTCAAACATGAAGACAGCATAAGACCTCAACCTTCACAGAGCTATGCAGACCCTAACCACCAAATCCCTGCTTCCAAAGCCAGCAAAGGACACCCAAAAACAGGTTTCATCAGCTTTGATAGCCCAAAACCTAAACATATCAGATGGGTATCTGAAATCAAGAAAGAAAGTGCAGGGGCATCCAATGGCGATGCTGTAGATAAGTTTTACAAAGACATGGATGATTATCAAGAGGAAGCTTACGAGGAACTTTATAAAAGGGAGGAAGGTGAAAGTGATTTCATTGCAGAGTTCAACAGTCATAATGAAGCTAATAGGAGAAGCCAAGAAAGTCTACCAGGTAATCCCAGGTATCACTCCTTGGGGCTTGGGGGCCATGTTAAGCTTCCCTTGACCTGTTCTAGTATAGACACATCAAGTTTACTTCAAATTAGAAAAAATGTGAGGAGTAGTTTTGTTACTGTATGTTATTATGTTCTTTATTTTCTATGAATGCTGTGTTTTTGGGAATTTTCACTTGTGTTTGGTTTTGATTTTGAAATAATATCAATCTTTGCTCTGGAACTTGTTCCGTGTTAGGTACTACTCCATCAAGTTGCTTAACAGTATCTGCGATACTCTACTCTTAGCTTTCTTACTACTAGTTTTATAGGAGGTTTTTTCTTGTAATTTTCCGTTCGCCATTTTTACACGAGGCATCTGCAAAGCTATGAAATATTCATCAAAATACTTGATACATATAATGATTTAGTACACTCATCTTCAATAAATGACTTTGATAAATACAATAGTGAACCTAAATAAATATAATAAAATAACCAAAATTCAATATATTATAGCAACGCTACCAATATTGACGCTATAAAGTGGACACACGTCCACTCTGCTTGACAAAGCTAGTTCAATGATTGACGCATGCGCAGTTCACATCTCATCTGAACCTGGAAGTTATGGTTTGTAAATATAGAAGTATGCTATTATTTAGTAATTATACTGCAAGGTGATATGTGTTACATTTCCTATATCTACATTCTACTGTATAGCCCAGCAATGCTTGTTTTGCAGATATGATGGCATTCCAAGGTATTCAGAGAGTTAAGAGCTTGGATCAGAGTCTGTTAGATGATCACCACCACAAACTCACTAATGATCAGACATTCAGGGAAATGCAGGATATCAGGCGGAAACTTCCATCATATAAAATGCAAAAGGTACATCGAGCTCAGGATTAAAGGATTCACTCAAAATATTGACCTCTCTCTCAAAAGATGTGATTGTGTATGTTAGGGGATAGGGATTGATAAGACTCAATGTATATACAGTACATGTACACTACTTGATATTTTGCGATGGTATTAATTTTTTGTCAGGGATAATTGACAAATCAGTATTGAAGGCTAAATTTTTTAAGGGGGGAAGAGGAGGGTGGACAGAATGCCCTAGGCAAGTCAAAATTAAATTGATTAGATTTGTTCTGATGGATTTATTGACAGAATTCATTTTAATTGAATAGGTTTCATCCAGTTTTGTAAAAACATTTTGGAATCAAGACTCAGTATTAATGGATTCCTACACATTACGTATAGATTATTGTTTGTTGTAACATGGAGAAAATAAAAAAGTGGAATTTTGTCTCAAGATATCATTTTAGGATATAGTGCGTGTTGTGCAAGAAAACCAGGTGACTGTTATAAGTGGAGAAACAGGATGTGGAAAGACCACACAGGTAAGATATCATCAGTTTTCATAACCCTAATCATTTCAATGTTAAATCACTTATATTAATCCTGTATTCTGTATTTGTCACCTTTGTGATAAAACCAGGGAAGGATATTTTCCTGCATGTTCCAGAATTTGTACCTCCAAAGAAAGAAGGTATTGTGAATCTTGGAGCCTCAGGATTTGAGGATGGCACTAAGAACTAGATATTTGAATTTAGGACTACAAAACAAATGCAAATGTGAATGTTCAGAATTGTTTACAGGTTGCCCAGTTTATCCTGGATGATTTTATCACTAGAGGAATGGGGTCTATGTGTAGAGTGGTGTGTACTCAGCCTAGGAGAATAAGTGCAATTTCAGTAAGTAACTTTATTTGTGGATTGTGTTGGCGGTTGACTTCTGGTGTTGGAGTCTTTAACAAAAGGCAGGTGGTGACATTTTGATGTTAATGTCTCGTTTATTTTTGTTTTCTGCATTTTGAATCACAACACTTTCTTTTGATATCTTTATATGTATGACACTTAATCAAAGGAATATAATTACATGAAATTACCATAATCAACAAATAAAAGAAGACGTCCATAATCAAGAACTTTGAGATACTTTGTAAGTCTTTTTTTTCATAAGCCAGAGAAGGATTTTATCTTTGGTGACTCCCCCCCCACCCCCTAAGGCTGTATCTTTGTGTCTATTGTTTTGTTGTTTCTTTCCGACTCAAACAGTCTGATTCATAATTCTTTGACAAAAGTGGCCAGTGAAAGACTCCTAAAATCTCTTTTTAATAAATACAATGTAAGTGTAAAAGTTCTCATATAAAGTGATATTGGCTCCACAAATATGGTTTGATAAGCAATTTGTGCTAGAAATATGTGTTTACTGAGAAATAAAGGCTAGAAATTGATCTATTTTAGTCATAATTCAAACTTTAAATGGCCTTAGAGAGTGACCATGTCAGCCTGACCTTTGTTATGTACACATGCCATCAATTTCACCTAATGAAATGTCTAAAAATAGAGCTGTCAATCAAATTTGAAAACGTATGGAGTGAAACTTAAATTTTAGCTGCAACAAGCTCATCTGAGATTTGAGGGTTTTTGGGAAAAATAATGATTAAACTTGGTTTGAACTTTAATTCAATATAATTTGATTAATTTATATAGGTTACTGCGACCTTTTGCAAAAGGTCAAAAGCACTAATTCCTGGAAATCTACATAGATCCCAAAGCAACAATGAAATTGAAATTCAGTTTTACAGTAAATTGCTAATTAAACAAATATGCATGTACATGTACTACTAATCTACTATGCCAGTTTTAATGGAAAATATTTGTTTTTAGGTAGCAGAGAGAGTAGCAGAGGAGAGAAACGAGCGATGCGGAAAAGAAAACAGTGTAGGCTACCAAATAAGATTAGAATCGTAAGTATGATAATCTAGAAATTGTTTTTAGAGCCTTAAGAAAATAGAAAAAATAGATACATGTAGACCTATACTGTTTTGGTGCAGTTATAATTTAAATGACACCAAAAGTAACTGTTATGCCAAAGGATTGATCTCAAGCTCTACTATTTCACTGGGGAGTATCGTGATGCAACAACACCGTGTTGTTGCATCAAGATGGCCAGACTTCCGGTGATAGATTTTCGTACGTTATGTTGTTTCCCCGATTTAAACCCATTTCTAGGACGAGTTTCTCAATAACCATACACGTGAAGTTAGCGCACGATCTATATTTAAAGAAACTGTCATTAGTATACATGTAGCATCATCAAGAAGCAAGAAGTTCACGGTTTTAGTTCCTCACTATTGATGCAACAACACCAAACCGAAGATGCAACAACACTCCTCTATATTTGAGCAATGATGCAACAACACCAATGACCAATTAATAGTATAATTTCAGAAGACCATAAATCTCGAGAGGAACAGTTTTTGAAATGCTACTATTGCAACACCGGGCCAGTACCCATTTGCGTTCTTCTCAGGCATTCAAAATACACGTCCTGCGGGCGAAGATTCTTTATATGTATTTTCAAAAATTTATACTTTTAAATATCATAACGCACTGGAAGTTGTTTTATAACATAGTTCAATAGTTCATAGTTCAATAGTTCAAACATTGCAAGCTATAGTAACTCAATCTATTATCATAAACTCCTGTTCCATAGCTTGATGACCCTGATGCCAGTTAGTATCATTCAAATGGTGGACAAACATCTTTCGTTCTCGGTAAACACGACGAGCTATTGGAAATCTTGCACAGCGCACATGTAGAAGTAATTTTCTCTTTGGATTCGTTCTCCCCGATTGAGTAAAAATGTAGGTAATAGGATTTAGGTCCCGAAAAGGTAAATTGATATGGGTACAGTAATCCCAGATTCCTCTTGGGCCCTCGGGAAATATCATAATGTGTCCCGGAATAAAACCAATATTGAATAACCTCACTGCAATATCATTAAACCAACACTCATCGGAAGTTATGGCGTTTTGAAAACTCAAAATCGCTAAATTTGGTGCCCCATGTTAAGTCAATGGGATTTTTTTGAAGTGTAAAATACGACATATATACGACCGAGTACAGCTTAATTTAATGAAAACCTTTAAATGAAGAGTACCTCAAAAGCAATCTAGCTTCAAAATTTGGACACAAAAATGTCTAGGTCAAAATCTAGGTCAAATTCAAAGTTTTCCTTATTTTTGTGATTCTGACACTACACTTCAATTATATTCTTCGAAATTGTGTATACATGTAGCCAAGAGTGTACTAATAGTGTTAGCCTTTTGCCGTCAGAAAGTATTTTAACCCACTTTTGAGATATGGTGTCCAAAAAGTAGGTCAAAATAAAAAATTCTCCAAATTTAACGTTTGAGTTATGAATGAAGAATAGAATTTTCTCAGGAATCGGAATCTGCAAACTCAATTTCGATCCGACTTCCGGTTCTGAAGTTATGGCATTTTGAAATCTCGAGAAAAATCGATCTGATGGTATCCTGATAGAAAGTCAAGAGTAGGCCTAGCGAAGAAAATGTTGAAAAATCCATCCATCCTTCCTATCATATCCTACTATTCTATCCTATCGTTCCTTCTTTTCTATCCCATCCTTCCTATCCTATCCCTTTTATCCCTATCCGTTCCTTCCTATCTATCCTTCCTATCCTCTCCTTCCTATCCTTCCTATCTTATCCTTCCTTGCTATTCTATCCTATCTTTCTTCTCTATTCTCTCCTATCGTTCTATCCTATTCTGTCCTATCCCTCCTTCCTATTTCATCCATCCATCCATCCTTTTCTGGATGACTCGGCTTATAAAAGTCCAGATCTGGAGTCTGAAATTGAACTTGTTCAATTTCCAAAGTCTAGTTATATTAGTTCTTTGTAAACAATTTCCATACGATACGGTAAATCAAGGGGATTTAATTTAGAAAATGAATAATCTTTATTTTTCAGATACAATATCAATGAGGTTGGCTCCCGGGGATTCAATACTTAGCCTATGTATTTAGTTTACCTTGTATATCCTTTTAACTTTGATAACATAAAGACAAATACATTAAGGAACCAAACAAAATACGTTTCATTCATGAACCACGCACTCACGCGTTTTATTCATGTCCCGACCAACACCTATAAACAGAACATAAAACAGTTTCTCTTGATATTCAATGATACATTATATTGGCGTTTTTTGCATCAGCACATTGGTGTTGTTGCATCATCGATAATAAACAGAGTGGTGTTGTTGCATCAATAGTGAGGAATTAAAACCGCGAATTTCTCGCTTCTTGATGATGCTACATGCATACTAATGAGTGTTTTTTAAAATATAGATCATGAGCTAACTGCACGTGTATGATTATTGAGTAACTCGTCCTAGAAATGGGTTTAAATTGGGAAAACAAAATATCGTACGAAAATCTATCACCGGAAGTCTGGCCATCTTGATGCAACAACACGGTGTTGTTGCATCACGATACCCCCCAGTGTATTTGAAAAGGTAGATATAGCTAAGAAGTAATTCAACTAGTAATTTCAAGTAGTTTTGGCAGTAAATTGAAGTATTTAGCCAATCAAGAAAAATAATTCTCCACTATTTTTGAGTATTCCGAATCGAATTAGGATATGATATGGATTCAAACAAGTTAGATAGATCTCTCTACAATATCTATTATCATATTAACAAGTGCAAATGAATGCTGTTTGGAAGTGCAGTATGGTACAAATATCACTTTTCAGTTTTACCCTCATAATGTCAACTACCAATGTTGGTGTATCAACAAAATTTTCATCATAGTTTTTTATGTAATTTTATTTTATATTTCACATTGTATACATGATTGGGGCATTAGTGATAGCTTGGGTAGGCAGGAGCCTTGTAGCTTGGGTAAGCAGGGGCTTGGTAGGCAGGGGCAGCATGTGGGGCAGAGTAGCTTGCAGTGTCACAGACCTTGGCGTAGTCATTGAAAGCTGTTCCCTTGGGGCATTTAACATGGAGTGGCTTGCAGCAGATACAAGGCTTGCTGGTCTTGCTGTAGGCGTCATATTTGTTGTCACATCCACACTGGATGAAACCATATGGGTTGTAATTGTCCTTGAAGAGTCCACTGGGGTTGCCATAGCATTTGCCGTCACATGGGTCTGGAACAAAAAAACATTTGTTATTAAAATCTATATCTATAGAAAGGTTTTCATTACAGAAAGGGTTTACCATTATAGAGCTGTTTACCTTATGACGTTTACTACAGAGAAGTTCATGTCATGGGCGTAGAGCTATATTTTTATGAGTAGTATGCCACCACATGAATAAAAGTTGAGCGAAGAGATAAACGAGCATTCAGGGGGGTCCCCCCAGAAAATTTTGAAGTTCGGTTGTATTTGGAGTGTATTTGCAACCACCTGGTATGCCTAATCCCGCCTATGCTTGTATGTGTTCACAACAGAGAGGTGTTCATTACAGGAAGGTGTTCACAACAATGAATGACCACTTCATTGATCTTAAACCAGAGATATTCATGATATAATAAAGTGTTCACCCTAGAGATGTTTTCACTCAGACAAATTCATGGACTTTGACTTACTGTAGCTGTGGGATCGGTATGATGGCTTGTAGTCACAATGTCCATAGTCTCCAATCTGTCCCTTGTTGCAGAGATCTCCTTTGCAGAAATACCACTGGGATCCACCAACGTACTGGCAGCCACTGTAAGAGTTGACACCCAGGGGAAGGTTCTCCTCATCAGCACATCCTCTGTAGACAACTGCAATAATAAAAGGTCAATTTTGTTAAGAGGGTTACTGTAGGTCATATTGCTGACTATACCATGAAAAGATGTTCTGGGGTAGGGTTTTTCAGGGATTGATCATTTTTCCATTCACTTTTTGTCTTTCCTACTTTTATCAAAAAATCAATATGAAATAAGTTTTTGATCGGGTAAAGTTGAAACAATATTTATTACCATCTTTAATTTTCATTTATTGGCTCTTTATCTTGGCTTGCTTTATTGACCGATAAACTTTTTAAATCATTGTTTTGATATTGCATTTTGTATTATTTTTTGTATTTGTTTTTTGTAAAACTTATTTTTTCACAGGATTTTGGTTGATATACTAAATCATCTACATTAAATTTCTTTCAAATTAAGTTTAATTGAATTCTTCACTTACGCCCATTCTTGTCTCTACGGATGAAGCACCTTCCAGATTTGCAGGTCCATTTGTCAAGGTTATCAGCATCATCATAGTTAGCTAGGGCACATCCCTCATACCCAGCTGTGGTTGAACGCTTCCAGTAGTCTGATTGGTAGCTGTAGCCTGATGGGGCATAATTGCAGTCGAAACATCTGGCTAAAAGTGAAATTAGAACCCATGGATTAATGTCATAGACGTTAATGATATGTAATAACTATGGTCCTTAAAGAGTTTTTCTCTTTGGATGTGCACATCTTGACAAGTCTCCTGAGGAAAATATTCAAGAACTGTCAAAAATTAGCTAATTATTTCCACTAAGTTTTTAATATTTGATATTTACGATTAAGAGCTCATGATTTTAGATGTAGAACTTGTTGAACTAAGTACTAATAAGGAGCACATAATATTCATGTTATATTTTCATCAAACAATATCAGTCAATGAATCGGAAATTAACACAAATGAGAATCGAATCACATTAAATGCAAAGAACTGTTTGAGTATTTTGAAAAATAAGAAAGTAGTTCCATTATAATTATTAACAATACCAGCCTACTTACATCCATATCCTGCTGCCAGCACTGCAGTTAGTCCTGCTACGAAAACAGCTAAAGTTAGCATGGTTGTTGTGTTGTATGAGAGCTCAGTGGAACTATGATCTCACCAAAATGTTAGAGCCTTTTATACTAGTTCGATTGATGAATGGGATGAACATATTGTGCCTTTGTTGCATAATTAGAACATAATTGAATGTATTTTGGGAATACTTATGAGGTGCATATTTATTAATTAGAAAAGTTACATGTAACAACATGGATGTATACATGTAGGTAACATAACAGGGGATCCAGGATTTTGTGTTATGGGGGGGCATTTGATAATAATAACTGAGCGAAGCGAGAATAGGGGGTTCTCACCCCCAGAAAATTTCGAAAATTTAACATCATTTGGTGCATTCTGACCAATTTTGGAGCATAGGTTCAATGGCCGGGTCGGATTTCAGTGTATGCAATGCATTACTGACAATCCATAACCATCTATTTTGATTTCCAGTTAAAAATTCTGACTTTTTTAGGGAGGGGGGGGGGCATTTAGATCCCCTAGTGCATAATGTATCATAAGATTGAACATACCAACAATGTACATGTAGTGCAACATCCTAAAATATGGAAATATTGGAAGAATTTATTGTGTTTTCCATTATGTTGAACAATTTAATTTTCCCAGTTCATGACCTTTTTGCTGTACAATTTTGTTGCCTGTCAAAAGGATATACAGCCTCAGTATATCAGTTAGTTGCCAGAGCAACAGGTAACATACTTATAAAGTTTATAGCAGGCCTGTATCCAGGATTTGCCAAGGGGGGTTCAGTTTTCAAAAAATTCCAGGGGGGTTCACATTAAGAATTGCTCAAAATGGTGAAAACAGCATGATTTTGAAAGAATAAGAATTTTTGGCCAGGGGAGGTTCGCCGGAACCCTGTGAACTCCCCCCCCCCCCCCCCTAGCTAATCGCCTGTTATAGTACATACAGAGTTTAGTAAATATACATGAAATAAATATTTATTCTGAGGTACTAGGGGAGTGTATGCTAATCTAGAAAATTGGTGAGGCAAATGTAAAAATGTAAATAGATGAGGCAAAACTCAAGTCAAATAAGATATTTGTATGGTATATAATTTTAAGTTTTAGTTGTAAATAAATCTAAAAGATATTTTCCATAAATATTTTGCTCAAGCTATGTGTATGTCTTTCTGTATTACCTGCTCAAACTTGTGTCAGTTTGTATTTAACTAAGGATGCTCATGCAAACTATGATCATCACAAAATAAGATCCACAACCTGTACCAGTTGAAAGTCATTTGTTGTATGTGTTAACTCATAGTACCCTTTTGGACAGCCTCTCCTTGTCATTTTTCAATACAAACATAAACTTCTTTATATTTGCAGTCAACTTCCAAGAAAGAAAGGGTCCATTCTGTACTGCACAACAGGAATTATGCTGAAATGGCTGCTAAGTGACAAGTTAGTATATTTTCTGTTGCACACATCAAAACTATATTCATGATTATCCGTTTTGCAAGTGTATTATACATACAGTATTTGTTAAAGATGACTTATTTTTACTCTAACAATGCAAAAGGTTTTACTAGCTATAGATGATCCAGATGATCCAGAAAAACACGAACAGAAAAATCTTTCTGTCTTGTAAAAACATATAAAAAATAAAAATTTAATAAAGCTAGAATAACTATAATATGTATTGTTAGTACCTCAGTTGAAATACTCGATTTTGATTGGTCAACGAGCGGTGAATAATTTTAACTGTACACCGCGCAATGCATTGCCGGTGAATAATATTCCCAGCATTCCACTAAAATGATGTCATTATCAGACGATAAAATGGCCGCCGCTAGCACTAGCCGTTTCAAAAATGTTGAAGATGAGGATATTATTAGTCTCTTAGAGAGTAAAGACAGTCAAAATACGAAGAAAAATCTAAATTTTTGTACAAAGCTTTTAGTGGACTTCGCCCAGGAGAGTAATTTGACTCCATAAAGTGATGTAAGGAATATTGTGTTTGAAACATGAACGTCTCGAGGGTCTGGATCCAACTTCAAGTCAACTTCAAGGGTCAGAAAAATCTAAGATATTCTTCGGACTAACAAAACAATTATAGACCTCTCCATTCGGTTTACTGTCAAAATTATATCCCTCGACTGTAAACCTCGACCTACGGTCTCGGTTTACAGTCTCGGGATATAATTTTGACAGTAAACCTCTGGAGAGGTCAATAATTGTATATTGTTATCACACTCTTGGCTGTTATATTGTGATCAGTTTGCCGGCCGGATGGGCTTCCTGATTATTTTTCATGTAATACTACTTCCATGTGAGTACTGCAGTAAGTAACCCAATTCAAAGAACATTTAACTTTGATTATAGTTATTTGCAAGACACATCCCACATCATCCTAGATGAGGTTCATGAACGTGACTTGCTGTGTGATTTCCTCATGGTAATTCTGAAAGATCTCTTGGTTCAGAGACCTGATTTGAAACTGGTTCTCATGTCTGCTACACTAAATGCAGAGCAGTTCTCGGAATACTTTGGTAGGAATTTTTTTCATTAAATCCTTACTGGTAATAAATGGTAGTTATATTTATCATCATCCTATCCATAAAATAGGGTGGATGGCACGACAAACCCCACATTTTATGAGTATAACACAAACAAACAAAACTTAAAAGAAATGTTTACATTCCTACTCAATATGAACATATTTATACATAAATCAGATATGTATGATTAGAGCTTGAGTAAAGGTAATACTTGGGCAACCATCTAAGCATGCACTTTAATAAATACATGTAAGATGCATGTATCAACCCCCCCCCCCCCCTCCTGATGTGACCTTTCTTTTCAGGAAATGCTCCAATGATGAATATTCCTGGGTTTACATATCCTGTGAAGGAATATCTACTGGAAGATGTCATTCAAATGCTCACGTAGGTTTAGTCCTTATACCCTCCAAATATTGCTTTCTGTCTGATGGAGCATTGTATTTCTGTCAAAATATGGTATAGTAGGCTCATAGTATATAACTCCTGATCATTATTAAAATGTAGACCATATAACAACCATGTAATATGTATTATTATCCCACCGAACGAAGTTCGAGGGGGATATAGAGAAGCCGTCAGTCCGTTCGTCCGTCCATCTGTTCGTTCGTCCGTGTGTCCGGGCGATAACTCCAATACCGGTTGACGGATTTGGTTCAAATTTTATTGGCTTATGCCTTATGAGTGTAGGACCTCTGCTCGAGAAGGAATTTTCAATATGGCCACTCAATTGATAACTCACACACAAGTTGACCGATTTGGTTCAAATTTTATATGCTGATGCCTAGGGACAAAGGAGTTTCGCACAAAAAGAGATTTTCAAGATAGCCGCTTAATTTCAAAATGGCAGCCATTTTTCGTAAAAATATGTAATTTTTGATAAATCAAATACCAGTGAACGGATTTGGTTCAAATTTTATATGATGATGCTTAAGGGCACAGTTGCTATGTTCGACAAAAAAATTTCAAGATGGCCACTTAATTTCAAAATGGCGGCAATTTTTCGTAAAAAACTTAATCTTTGATAACACAAATACCAGTGAACAGATTTGGTTGAAATTTTATATGATTATGCCTAGGGACACAGTTGCTCTGTTCAAGAAATAATTTTCAAGATGGCGACTGAATTTCAAGATGGCGGCCAATTTTCGTAAAAAACATAATCTTTGATAATTCATATACCAGTGAACGGATTTGGTTCAAATTTTATATGATGATGCCTAGGGACACAGTTGCTCTGTTCAAAAATGAATTTTCAAGATGGCTGCTTTATTTAAAAATGACGGCAATTTTTCGTTAAAAAAACATAATCTTTGATAACTCAAATACCAGTGAACGGATTTGGTTCAAATTTTATATGATGATGGCTAGGGACACAGTTGCTTTGTTCAAAAATGAATTTTCAAGATGGCCACTAAATTTCAAAATGGTGGCCATTTTTCGTAAAAAAAACATAAAATTTTGATAACTCTAATACCAGCGAACAGATTTGTTTTACATTTTATATGATAATGCCTAAGGACACAGTAACTCTGTTCGAGGGAGAATTTTCAAAATGGCAGCTGAATTTCAAAATGGTTGCCAATTTTCTTAAAAGAACGTAATCTTTGATAACTCAAATACCAATGGATGGATTTGGCTCAAATTTTATATGGCCGCTATTTATCACAACATGTTTTGTTCGGTGGGATTTGCTACTCCGTGGAGTTGCTGTTTTTCTAGTTACCAATAAATTGAATTGATTTATAATCTTAAAATGTATTAAGAATAAATTAAAGTGACATCATGTTTGTTGCAAAGGTACCATCCATCAGAGTTCCATATAAAAAGAAAGCCCCAACAAAAACGACTGTATGGCAAGAAGAGATACGAACAAATGGAAGAACAGATGCGGGAAGAGGAAGAGATGGAGCAGTTCCTGGCCACATTAAGTGCCAAAGGGTCAGTACATTTATCCGAATTCATGTCCTTCAGGACACTCTTTCAATAACAAATAATTCTTTTATCTTAGCATTGCAAGTCAGTATTATAATATTCTGTGCACAAGTCAGCTATGTATCTGATTGGTTAATTAGCAATTCAGGTGTAAAACTCCAATGAAATGTGATAAAAGTACTTCAATGAGATAATATGCAGTATGTCAAACTGTGATATATTTTTTCTTCAAAGACATATTATATATTATACTCCCTACACTGTTTGCTTCTTGGTCTCAAGTGCAGAATTGCCATATATTTTCTTCTATTCAAAATGTACCCGCAAATATACATTGTATTGGTCATCTATAATGAGAACAGGTGATATCAATCCTTGGTGTGAGCTACATACTCATGTATAATGTACCTCTGTCTTGATATACTTTAACCAAAATTTATTTGTGAATAGGTACAGTTCTGATACATTGGAAACATTACGTAATGTGGACAATACTAGGATTGACTTGGACCTTGTGGCAGAGTTGATACGTCATATATCTATGCAGGGTGACGAGGGAGCTATTCTGGTCTTTGTACCAGGGTGGGAAGAGATCAAGACTTTAAAGCAAATCTTAGACAAAGATGGCATGTTCTCACCCGGTAATGTCATTTCCAGTTTATTTAGAAATTCACCTTTCAAGTTTTTATTGACAATGCAGTTCATACACAGCCCATAAATAATGAATAATTTGTACAGTTTCCCCTTCTAAGATCAGGATCATACACCAACACTTTTTATCACACCATCGGTGGGATATAGTCGTCATACTGGTAGTGGTCGTGGTCGTGATCGTGGTCGTGGTCGTGATCGTGATTGTGGTCGTGATCGTCCCGCTTTTTGTCATCGCCGTTTAAGGAAAACTGCTTATCAGATTTTCTCCAAATTTACACAAATGATAGAGGATATCAAGTACTAGAGCTGATTAACTTTTGGGCGGCCATCTTGTTTTCTGGCAGCCATTTTGAAGATTTTTCGAAAAATCTTGTCATCGCCATTTCAGGAAAACCGCTCATCGGATTTCCTTCAAATTTACACACATGATAGAGGATATCAAGTACTAGAGCTGATTAACTTTTGGGCGGCCATCTTGTTTTCTGGTGGCCATTTTGAAGGTTTTTCGAAAAATCTTGTCATCGCCATTTCAGGAAAACCGCTCATCGGATTTCCTTCAAATTTACACAAATGATAGAGGATATCAAGTACTAGAGCTGATTAACTTTTGGGCGGCCTTCTTGTTTTCTTGTTCTTGAAATTTGTAAACATAATAGGAGAACAGTTTTCCTGGTTCATAGTGTCTGCCTATTTGATGGTGTGATCTCGTTCACGTTCTGTGCCTTGTTCATGCCTATTGTCATTTTTTTGGACAATGAAGGATCATGTCCCAACACTCTCACATATGTACTATCATTCTTCAGACCAGTTTAGGATCATACTGTACCCCTACACTCTGAGTCTCCCATGCTAACTATAATTTTTCAAGTTCAAGATCATATCCCAACACTCTCTCATACTCCAATCATTTTCAGACAAGTTCAGGATTATACCCCTACACTCTTATATACCTAATATCATTTTCGGACATGTTCAGGATCATACCCCTACACTCTTATATACCTGCTATCATTTTTAGACATGTTCAGGATCTTACCCCTACACTCTCAAATTAAAAATAAAAGGTATAACTTTACATCGATATTTAACAGTCTTTAGCGGAAATATGTATTGAAGATAATCGCGGAAAACAATTCCTTCACCTCGAGGGGCTCTGCTGGGGAATTCTTCAATCACTGTCAATATAGTTAGATTCTTGCTTTATTTAAGCGATCTTTGCCGTATTTTCTCCAATGAAGAAAAATTCCCATACATGAAATTCCTGGGGATTTTTGACTTATCTCATATATGGGCCCTCTTTGTAATGGGTTACAATGGAAATTTCAATTTCAAAAGAATACGGTACCTACTATCAATTTCAGACAAGTTCAGGATCATACCCCTACACTCTCATATACCTACTATCATTTTCAGACATGTTCAGGATCATACCCGTACACTCTCATATACCTACTATAATTTTTTCAGACATGTTCAGGATCATACCCCTACACTCTCATATACCTACTATCATTTTCAGACATGTTCAGGATCATACCCCTACACTCTCTAATGCCAACTATCAACCAGAAACAGGTGTTCCAGCGCCCACCTCCAGGAGTAAGAAAGATTGTCATTGCAACTAACATTGCAGAAACTAGGTAAATATTATATATAAGGGGACACAGGAATACCCCCAATTGTTGTCTCTTACTTATATAATTTAGTTGAATATCATTAATTCAATGGCAAATTCTTTAAATTGGATACATCCAAATGTGAACACTTTTTGGTTCCTCTTACTTGATGCTGATTTGAAAGGCTCAAAAAGTGTTTAATGATGGAAGTAACTTTCAAAACTCTGCAAATGATATAATTACACTCCATTGTGTTTTTCGGAAAAAGGATTGATTATGAGATATAGAAGTTATTTAAGATTTAAGATGCACTGATGTCCAAATTTGAATTTACGATGTTCTCATTTTCGTAATTTCTGTCAGATAATCTCAAAAATCAAAGAACTATCTGACATTGAATGATGAGAGAAAAAAATATTGTGACAATTTTTTGCACATCATTTTCAGCATCACCATAGATGATGTTGTACATGTGATTGACACAGGGAAAATAAAGATGAAGGATTTCAATCCAGAGAAGAACATAGCAACATTATTGCCACGGTGGGTGAGCAGAGCCAATGCTAGACAGAGGCGAGGTAGAGCAGGAAGGTAAAGTTTTATAGAATTTGAAATTGATGTGGACAATAAACAATGGAATGTGAGAAGTTTTAGTGTTATCTTTTGCGACATTAAACCTCCGTATGAGAACAGTGTGGACATCCATGATTTTAGAAATACATGTAATTAAATAGAATTTATGAGCTGAAAATATTAAAAATTATGACAATTCTCAAAAGGTTGCCCTGGCTGAAATCTTCTTGTAGTGAAATCTTTAAATGCCTTTTGTGTCAGTCAGCCACTAACTAGATATCATCATACTGTAAATATTTAGGTTCTGAGTTTGCCAATACAACTAGCCCCTTGCATTAGGTATGATACCTCCGAGCAAACTCACTGCACCACTGTATCATGGGACTTTATTGTTTCCGAATTTCCCATGATGTATGCTATAAGTAGAAACAATGCTATATCTTCAGAGTACAGCCAGGTGTGTGCTATCATCTGTACACAGGCCTTGATGAGTCCAAGTTTGATGACTACCAGCTACCTGAGATACTCCGTACAAGATTAGAGGAACTATGCTTACAAATAAAGGTACTTTCAAGCCACTATGTGTCATAAAAAGAAAAGTTTACTCACATTCCATTACTCTAGGAATCCTAAAAAATAATTGATATCTGTCTGGTTTCAATTTTTAAACTAAAAACTAAAGCAGCACACCTTGGTTTTTTCACAAAACATCGCATGTGTGTAATGGTCAAAGTTGCTAACGAAATGGGGAATTCACAAGAGCTATTTTAATGGGCACCTTCATTTAAATAATGGAAGTATATACATGTATATGCAGGAGGGAGGGGGGGGGTTGGGTGGGCATGACAGACACCACAGGAATTTTGTCAGCATTAAATTCCTCCACCTTTTCCAATGTATCTCCTTTTTCCTCTTTTAAGCTGTTGAAACTTGGCAAGATTGAACCATTCATTAGGAAAGCTATGCAGGTCCCCTCGATGGAAGCGCTACATGTCTCAATACAATTATTAGAAGATATTGTAAGTTATTTCACCTGTTCATAAGCCCAGAGGGGCTGTTTAGGTGACCTACATGTAAGCATACACATACATGTATACACATCTATAGGTTATAAACTGGCTCAAAATTCAATAAAGACTCCAAACATTCATGTGTAATATATTGCATATGATCGAACAAAAAGCAAAATGATTGAGAGATATCTTGTACATGAATGCATTTACTATATAGGATACACACAGGTATATGTGTATTGATTACAGAATGCCCTTGATGATAACGAAGACTTGACTCCTCTTGGTTATCACTTGGCCAAGATGCCTGTGGACCCTCAGACTGGAAAGATGATCTTATACGGTGCATTGTTTGGCTGCCTGGACCCTATACTCACCATAGCAGCCAGCCTCAGCTTCAAAGATGCTTTCTACATACCCATGGTAGGTTTCTGAATACCCATAATAGGTCTCTACATACCCCTGATTGGTTTTCTACATACCCTTGGTAAGTTTCTACGTACCCATGGTCAGATATACATACCCTTGGTTGGATTCTATATACCCTTGGTAGGTTTCTACATACCCTTGGTAGGTTTCTACATACCTTGGTAGGTTTCTACATACCTTGGTAGGTTTCTACATACCCTTGGTAGGTTTCTACATACCCTTGGTAGGTTTCTACATACCTTGGTAGGTTTCTACATACCTTGGTAGGTTTCTACATAGCCTTGGTAGGGTTCTACTTACCCTTGGTAGGTATGATCTGTCTATAATCCCATTCATGGTAGGTTTCTACATGATACACATGTACATCATTAGACTTTGATATCTTGAATTTGAAATCCTCATGTAAAATTATATCTAGAAATGTGGTTTCAAAAATTAATAATTATATGACTTCTTGGTCAGGGAAAACCCATAGACCCAAATTATTTTTTATAAAATCACAAAAAGTGAAATATCTTTTCTGATCATATATGACTGATAATATTACGTTTATCTAGGCATATTTTCATTTGTTTGTACAAGATACATAAGCACGGGGTACCATCGAATAATTTTGGCAACGTACCGGAGAACGACATTTTACTAAGAAATGGCAATAATTTAGCACAATATATTTTTAACTAGAGTTCTATTTTGATTTTGTAGGAATTCTGTTGGAACCCAGTTCTGATCAAGTACGAAGTTATTGAAATCGGCGCAGACGGCCTTTACTCCGAAAGATGGTTTTTCGATTATAACTTTTCACAACATTTAAGTATAGACTTTTGAAAAAAGTACAGAATAGTCCTTATACTTTTGAATAATTCTGTTATTTCTGATTCACATGAATCTGATTTGTTTAATTAAAAGAAAAGTTTTAAAAATATTACTTAGGAACGTAACCGGAGCTGGGAACGTAACCGGAGCAGATCAGTTGAATTATTTAATCAAAAAAATTAAAATATATGATTTAAAGCACATATACTAATTTAAAAACATACGGGATTGTTCGAATGCGTATTTATTAATATGCTTTAAATCATATATTTTATTTTTTAAATTATATAATTCAACTGATCTGCTCCGGTTACGTTCCCAGCTCCGGTTACGTTCCTAAGTAATATTTTTAAAACTTTTTTTTTAATTAAACAAATCAGAGTCGTGTGAATCAGAAATAATAGAATTATTCAATAGTATAAGGACTATTGTGTGCTTTTTTCAAAAGTCGATACTTAAATGTTGTAAAAAGTTATAATCGAAAAACCATCTTTCGGGGTAAAGTCCGACTGCGCCGATTTCAATAACTTCGTACTTGATCAGAACTGGGTTCCAACAGAATTCCTACAAACTCATGAATGAAATAGCCATTGCATGGAATACTTACTTTTGTCAAAATCAAAGTAGAACTCTAGTTAAAAAATATATTGTGCTAAATTATTGCCATTTCTTAGTAAAATGTCGTTCTCCGGTACGTTGCCAAAATTATTCGATGGTACCCCGTGATAAGGGTAATATGAAAATTGATCCATGTGAAGGCACTTCAAGTTTAAGGGAATTTTCTAATATATCTTCAATGTTATCTGACCCAAATTAGCCACCTTGTGGTGAAACTGGTAACTACCTACTGGTATCTGGGTTATTTAAAGTAAAAGATTATCTGGGGAACTAAATCAAGCCTATATTAGACATAACTGAAAAAGAATATTTAGCTGGGTCTGTGCTTCTTACATGTAAATACATATACCTTCTTTCTTGAGAGCCCATGTTCTCACTTTATGCAAACTTAATAGTTATGACATCACTTCCTGCTTGAAATCTTAAATGATGGCAGCACACCATTTCTGCAGCACAGAAATTAAGGAGCGCTACATTTTTAAATGATCAATTTTGAGCATACCAAAACATTTTCCCAAGTTTTGCTAAAATAATGATGTATAGAATAGTTATACATGTAGCTACTATATCAAGAGAGAAATGGGCTCTTTAATTGTGATCTTATGAAAAATTAATATTATCTTTGTGCATAATCCAGGAGGAGCAGAAAAAGGCTGACCAACAGAGGCAGGAATTAGCAGATGGTTGCCGTAGTGACCATATCATGTTGGCTCGTGCCTTCAGTGGGTGGGAGGAGGCAAAGCAAAGGGGTACAGACCGTCACTACTGCTACAACTACTTCCTATCGGCTAATACTTTAAAGGTAACACATATGTTGGTTTTCTTGAAAACAACTTTTTGTCCAGCTACATGTAGCAACAATTCAAATATTTCTTTCAAAGGAGTATGTAAATCTATGTTGATTACACATTTGTGCACTGTTTCTCTGTACTGATTACAATTACTGTACTGCACAAACTTATTAGCATTTTTAGTAATAACCTACTAATATATTAAATTATTTCAGATGTTATCTGATATGAAGAGACAGTTTGCAGATCTGTTACTTGAGCTTGGTTTTCTCAGTAATAGAAATGCTAAACACCCATCTGTCAATGCTAACTCAGGTAAGATAAACTAAATATTAAGCTGTCAATGCTAACTCACATAAAGCATGCTAAACACCCATCTGTCAATGCTATTTCTCAGGTAAGGCATGCTACCCAAATGTCAATGCTAACTTAGGGAAGACACGCTAAATACCCACATGTCAATGCTAATTTAGGTAAGACTTGCTAAACACCCATATGTCAATGCTAACTTAGGGAAGACATGCTAAACAACCATATGTCAATGCTAAATCAGGTAAGGCATGCTACCAAAATGTCAATGCTAACTTAGGGAAGACATGCTAAATACCCACATGTCAATGCTAATTTAGGTAAGACTTGCTAAGCGCCCATATGTCAATGCTAATTAAGGTAAGACTTGCTAAACATCCCTATGTCAATGCAAACTTAGGGAAGACATGCTAAACAACCAAATGTCAATGTTAACTTAGGGAAGACATGCTAAATACCCATATGTCAAATCTAATTTCGGTAAGACTTGCAATAAACACCAACATGTCAGTGCTGATTTAGGTAAGACTTGCTGAGTTAAATCAGGTAAGGCATGTTACCAAAATGTCAATGCTAACTTAGGGAAGACATACTAAATACCCACATGTCAATGCTAATTTAGGTAAGACATACTAAATACCCACATGTCAATGCTAACTGAGGTAAGACATGCTTAACACCCATATGTCAATGCTAACTTAAGTAAGACATGCTTAACACCCATATGTCAATGCTAACTTAGGTAAGACATGCTAAACACCCATATGTCAATGCCATTTTGCATAAGACTTGCTAAACATTCTCGTGTCAATGTTAATTTATTAAAGTCTTGCTAAACACCCATATGTCAATGCTAATTTGCGTAAGACTTGCTAAACATTCTCGTGTCAATGATAATTTCGATAAGACTTGCTAAATACCCATATGTCAATGTTAACTTAGGTAAGACATGCTAAACACCCATATGTCAAAGTTAACTTAGGTAAGACTTGCTAAACACCCATATCGTCATTGCTAACTCAGGTAAGGCATGCTAAACACCCATATGTCAATGTTAACTTAGGTAAGACATGGTTACGCCCATATGTCAATGCTAACTTAGGTAAGACTTGCTGAACATCCATATGCCAATGCTAATTTAGGTAAGACTTGCTAAACACCCATATGTCAATGCTAATTATCCCATCGAACGAAGTTCGGAGGGATATAGGGAACGCCTCCGTCCGTCCGTCCGTCCGTCCGTACGTACGTCCGTCCGTCCGTACGTCCGTCCGTCCGTCTGTCCGTCCGTCCGGGCAATAACTCAAATACTGTTTGCCCGATTTTGTTCATATTTTGTACACATATACCCTATGGGGGTAGAAGTTCTGCTCGAAAGCCGATTTTCAAAATGGCTGCTCATTTCAAAATGGCGGCCATTTTAGTGCCGATTTTACAGTAATTTAGGTGCAATATGTAAAACTGTAATAGCAATATGTTTTAAATGTAAAAAAATTATAAAGGACATTAATAATGCTACAAATGTAGATATTAAAGAAGCACATGGCAGCCATCTTGAAAAATGGCGGCCTTTAATCATCACTTTACGATTTTTGCTGTAACTCAAAAAATAGTGGAGCGATTTTGTTCATATTTGGTATGTGAATACTATAAGCATTGCACACTGTCTAAAGACACTTTTGGTAGAAGGCGGCCATTTTTAAAAATGGCCGCCATTTTAAAGTATTTTACTATAACTCGAAAAGTAGTGGAGCGATTTTGTTCATATTTGGTATGTGAATACTATAAGCATGGCACACTGTCCTATGACACTTTTGCTAAAGGCGGTCATTTTGAAAAACATTTTGAAAAATGGCCGCCATTTTAACATATTTTACTATAACTCGAAAAGTAGTGGAGCGATTTTGTTCATATTTGGTATATGAATACTATAAGCATGGCACAATGTCTATTTCTAATGACACTTTTGGTAGAAGGTGGCCATTTTAACATATTTTACTATAACCCGAAAAGTAGTGGAGAGATTTTGTTCATATTTGATATGTGAATACTTTAAGCATGGCACATTGTCTAATAAAACTTTTGGGAGTAGTCGGCAATTTTGAAAAATGGCCACCATTTTTATGTGTGTTATTTTACAAGTACGTGTGCGATTTTTCAAAAATTTTAGAGGTGGCTACTAAAAAGCATATTATTCCTTCTGATGACAACTTGGCTAGTGAGCAACCATTTTGAAAATGGTGGCCTTTCTGGTGTGTTGTTTTATGATATTTGCTATTCGTTTGTAAAAATGCCAGTCATTTCTGTTCGATGGGATTCGCTACGCTTTGGCGTTGCCGTTGTTCTGGTTTAGATTAGATTTGCTGAACACCCATATGTCAATGCTAACATAGAAAATACATGCTAAACACCCACATGTCAATGCTAATTTGTGTAAGACTTGCTGAACAACCATATGACAATGCTAATTTTAATAAGACTTGCTGAACACCCATATGTCAATGCTGATTTAGGTAAGACTTGCTAAATACCCATATGTTAATGCTAACTTAGGGAAGACACGCTAAATACCCACATGTCAATGCTAATTTGCGTAAGACTTGCTAAACATTCTTGTGTCAATGATCATTTTGATAAGACTTGCTGAACACCCATACGTCAATGCTAACTTAGGTAAGACATGCTAAACACCCATATGTCAATGCTAACTGAGGTAAGACTTGCTAAACACCCTTATGTCAATGCTAACTCAGGTAAGGCATGCTAAATACCCATATGTCAATGCTTAACTAACAAATGACATACATTAAGAACACATGTTACAACATAGATAATTTCAAATAAAATACATCACTGTTATTGTCTTGATATTAAATCACTTTAAAAATGCTTGTGAAATATTCCAATTCTTTCATTTTACCCTGGGAATGCTTTAAGAATGTGATTTCCTTACGGTAAATCTTGTAACATAAAGCTCTTTGTTTTAACAGGAAATGATGAATTGATACGTGCAGTACTATGTGCAGGACTTTACCCGAATGTAGCAAAACTCAGGAAGCTTGGCAAAGGGGGCAGGTACATGTAGGGCATTGTAAAAATGAAATGCAGACATACACGGTGCATTTTTGGACGACTGCGTTGCAGTTGAATTTGATAGGATTGCGTAATAATTAATCCGTTTTAACTGCGAGCATAAAAAAAACAGATCTACATGTACAAGTACTGCTGTGGAAATTGCTAATAAGATGGTCACTCGCGTGTAGGCTATCGAAAAACAGGATAGTTTTACTCGCGAGCAAAGGTCTAATTAAGTCAAAACCATCTAAAGGTGCTAAATAATACGATATTATTCATATTTACCTGAACCACCTGTGAGATCCATACTTTCACTTTCAGCAAGTTTAAAATGATCCGGGAGTACACAGCAGAAGTCAAATTCATACACGTGGGCAAGTTGAAAAGCTTGTGTAGCTTTGAGCTTATTTACCATGGTTAATTGCAGTTCAATCCCCACTTAATACCATTTCAATAGAACTCCTATGGCGCGCCAGCGACTGGCTATCAAGAGTGCTCGGGACAAACTTGACACAGCGATATTCCGCAATCAAACCAAAATCTAGCTAATTTTTTAGATTAAAATCTTGATTGCGGTCAAAAAAGCATGTGCAAAAATGCAGCCACAGTATGTACTAAAAACATAGCATACAACTACTGTACACGCAATTTCATTTATCACAAAAATATTTTTTTCTTCTTTTCACAACCTTTATTTTACTAAACAGGACGTTTCGGATCCTGTCTGGATCCTTTTTCAACTGTATACATTTTTGGTGAATTAATATGACGTAATATTGTTTTTATTTAATTGTTTTGTAGCGGTTCAGTTCAGTTTTTATACAGTTGAAAAAGGATCCAGACAGGATCCGAAACGTCCTGTTTAGTAAAATAAAGGTTGTGAAAAGAAGAAAGAAATATTTTTGTGATTTGATAATCCAACCTGAAGAAAATGTTTAAGAATTGCATTTATGTTTTATGATCAACTTTTTCAAGAAAATTGAAAACAAATAAGTTAAGAATGGAATATTTGTTTTTGTTTACACAGTTTGTGCTTATTTGAGTTATTTCCTTAGGCCGACTGTTCTATCAACAAAGACCGAGCGAAAAGTGTGTATCCATCCAAAGTCGGTAAATGCCAATGAGAAAGAGTTTGAATCTCGATGGTTTATATTCCACCTAAAGATGAAAACTACAAATGTAAGTACCTTTTATATATTGCAGTAACACATGTAGTTTACTTATTGAAACGGTCAAGGTTGATGGCCCAAACAGCTTGATTATTGGTCTAAATGCATTTTCTTAAACTTTTGTTGTATTCGATTGCACATGCTTTATTTATATCTGCTGAAACAGGCATGCTTCAATTCTAGGTGTATCTGTATGACCTCTCGGAGACGTCTCCCTTTCCCCTGCTGTTCTTTGGCGGCATGATATCTTCAGATGTAGGGAAACAATCGGTAAGGTTCAACATGTCAACTCGAATGGAAAATAAAAATATTCATGCTACTTGTGCTGTTGATAATAAAATGTGTTTGCCTGTTGGAGTCATTCATAAAACATGATTAGTCTAATTAAACAGCACTTAGAATTAATTGACTGTCAAAATTGATTTATAATGCTAATTAGCCACCTTATTAGCTGAAATTACCAATTAGAATTGGCTAAGAGCTAATTAGCTTCTACACCAGTCTTTGAAAAAACAAGGTTGGGGTTGGAGGAATGGAAGATTCAAAATGATTTTTAGAGACATACAAATAATTAGTTAATATTGTTCTGTACATGTACAGAGGTGTATCGAAAGAGGCTGACTTTAAGGTTTTTCTCCTGACTTTTGCTTAAACTTTCCGATACTTGCCCAGGAATAACACAAACCTAAACTAATGAGAGAATGTCTCCCACAAGGCATTAATTCAATTATTTGCAATAATTGTTATCAATTATCAGACATAGTAATTCATTTGTACTTAAAAATACATGTGTGTCTTTAGTATACCTGTGTAACAAGAACCACAAAGGACATATTGTGTGAATGAGACAAACCTTATTACATAAATCAATTGATATATTGATATATATATATATATTGCATGTATTATTATTAAAATTGTAGGCACAGTCACTTGTACCTGTAAGTGTTGATGAATGGATCGACTTCAATGCTTCACCTGCTACTGCCAAAATTGTAAAGGTATAGACAAGAACATATATTATTAAAATCGCACATGTATAGCATAGACTATATACAAGTTTATCAATTTAACAGAAATTTCTTACATTCTATAGAATTTTCTGTTAGATCTAGTTATAGAATACATATATGTACGTGTTTAAGCATTCTATAGTCTAAAACATGCATGTTTTACATTGTACGAATACAAATTGGGTGTTTCATAATGACCATTCCATCCACAGCCAATCCTAGATTACATGACCCATAATCTATATATCATTTTGAAGCTTATCAACTTGAAGCTTATTCTCAACTTGTGGGCCAAATATTGTCATGATTGATCATTAAGAACTTGATTTGTCATTTTTACATTAATAGTCAATATCTCAAGCCAAATTAGTTTGATTAATCGCTCCTATTTGTAATGGATTCTAAGAAAGAGAGCGGCTCATAATATACAAGTAATCCCCTGTATCATTTACATGTAGTTGAAATAAATACAATGCATTTTTCTTTTAAATAATCATTGAAATATTCTCTGCATTGCAGGAGCTGAGGTATGAGTTTGACGCTTTGCTAGAGTACAAGATAACCCACCCATGTGTTACAGACTGGAACCCCAGGAGTAAGGAGGGGGCCCTTATGAGGGCCATTATAAGTCTCATAACAACAGAGATGAAGATAACCACTGAAGAACATAAACAAATGACTCAGAACTATGATGATGATTGAGTTATGTACATGTTCACTGTACCAAAGTGTGCTAACTGTAGAATGTACAGTATGTCCATATGGACATGGACATGGGAGTCAATGGATGGAAAAAATGGGACCGAAAAAAAGTGTTCAAATTGGAAGGTGTTAGGATTAGCCAGGTGTTCAGATATACAGGTTCTACTGTATATCTAAAATGTTGCCCCTCATATGCCTGGGTCTTATTTGCTCCGATTCATCGGCCATTCGGACATTAGACAAAGTCTAACAAATCATGAACGAATCAAACTAAAATTCCTTATAAAACCGGAATCAAATGTTTTAAATGAAATCCAAGTTAAACATGGGTATTGTCAAACTTATCCCCGATTTAACAATGATGCAAAAATCCATCCTTTGATCATTAGTTTAATCACAAGTTCTGGTTATGTGGATTATAAAGTTAAAACTCTTAAAGAATAATCCCTTGTCATTGAAAATGATACCGAGACCCTCATACTTCTCCCGGGATACTTCTCTTTAAACCAGACTCGATATTTGGAATACACTCTCTGTATAAAACACATTATTTAAACCCTCAAAATGAATATATTCAGGCCCGTAGCCCCCCCCCCCCCGGCCAAAACATCTTTCAAATCATGCAGTTTTCACCATTCTGCTCTGAGCACTTTTTTAAGTGATTCTGGCTAATTTTGGACCAAAATTGTCACAAGTGAACCACTTCTGGAATTTTTCAAAAAGTGAATCCCCCTTGGCAACTCCTGGCTACAGGCCTGATACTCTTTGGTGTAAAATAAAGGTAATTTTGCTTAGCGCCTGTTTCGAGATTCGCAAAATTGAACCCTGATTCAATCCATTCCTAGCAGAACACCAAACGCTGAAAAAGGACACATCGTGAAAGGAAACAAAAATATTATTTTCAAAGTGCCGAAACAAACATGTCTTATTGTATTTTATGGCTATATCAATTGAATACATGTTACAGGGACGTAGCCAGCCTTCAGTCAGGGTGGTGCTATCGTCAAAAAATCGGTTTTCAGTCGGGGGGATGCGATTGTGGCATATAAACAAGCCAAAAATATCTTGATTTTTACAAAAATTGATGCGAATTCCTTCAAAATTGAACTAGAAGTTTCAAATGAAAGCCATTCAAAGCTCCTTTCTTCTTCCTTCTCTATTGGTTAAGCGAATCGCACCCCCCCCCCCTGGTTACGCCTATGTGTTAAAACTTTACACAATATCAATATTTAGAAACTGTATCTTGTAAGTGGCTTACTAAGCATCAGATCAATCACTAAGAACCCCTCTTATCTGCCGTTTGCGTTTGGAAGGATAAAGACAAAGGGGACGCGGCTACATGTATATCGCGATAACGTGAAATCTTTATGACATATCCCTTCACCAGAGCCTACACCAATATTCTTAACACCACTTATTAAAGGATGCATGCATCAAGGGGTAGACATCATTCAAAAGACATAAACATGACCGGGTCGGTCAGGGGAAGGTTTGCATACGATGCAATTTGTACATGCAAGCTCATTTTTCACATATAAATTAATAAAGTCGATTCCTTGGGAATACGTTATTGGGTTTATAAGCGTAACGAAGAGAAGCGATGGGGTCGCACCCCCTCCTACAAGCAATAAAAGGTACCATAAGGTAGAGGAAGAAAAGAGCATTAAATTGATTTTTTGTTTGAAGCTTCTAGCTCAGGTTTGAAGGAAGTTGCATTATTTTCGTAAAAATTCAAAACAAATATTTTTTGCCTCATTTATGTCACGATCGCACCCCCCGACTGAAAACCTAAAATATTTTGGTGATTGCATCACCCCTCCCCCCGACTGAAAGCTGGCTACGGCCCTGGGGTTTTATCGAAAACTATATCGTCAACATTTTATCATTATGCGGAAAGTCCAATATGAAATCTTAAATGGTAAATATGTTGCATTTATGGAGGGAATTCCACTGTAAACTATAATGTGAATGTTTGATATGAATACTTCCATACAACCATCAATATCCATTCTTTTGAAATAAGATGTTACAACAAAGGGAATATTGAAAACTACAGTGGTTAGAGCATCTTTCTGACTGCTAATTATGTGTATCAACATTTTGATTGCACCTCAGCTGGAGATTAAATCTTATAATAATTTGATCAAAGGGATTGTAATTTTCCCCAATTCGCTTATCTATGTTACAATCTGTATACTTGTTATATTGTGAGCGGTATGTGTTGATAAACCAAAAAGATATGTTTTTTGGATATCAACATTTAGAAAAAAGTGTAAGATACCATTCTATATGTTTATCTTAGTGTTTAGCATAGGTAAGAATGGGGGATGGGCTGGCGAGGGTCCGTCTTTGAATAATTCCAAGGGGTTCATATATTATCACAATTTTGCTACAAAATCACTTGGAAAGTACATGATTTGAAAGATTATTTGGCCAAGGCGTCCGCTATTAACATGAGTATGAATTTTATAAAAAAATGTCAAGCCAATGGACCCACATTTTAAGACAGATTTTTCCATTTTCTGGTATAAGAATCGGTGTGGAAAATATGTTACCCCTCAATTGTGGTACGGCATTGGTCCCGGGGCATTGGTCTAGTTGTTACACATATCCTTCATTTGAGGTTGTTTATGATCATTTTACTCAAAGATCTGCCTTCTTCTCGGGGCAATCGATATTTCGAATGGCCTTGGTCTTATATTCTGGATATTTGGTACCCGGGGGTATGGCATTGGTTCTATATTTTGTTTGACATGGCATTGGTCTTGTGTTTGGACATTTGATATGGCTTTTTGGGGTTTATTTTAGTTTGTATGAGAACACATTTAATGCCACCCCCCCCCCCCCAATTACAAATCTACATCTATTCTCTCTATCCCAAAGGTGGATCGGAAGCATGAAAAACAGATGCAGACTCGGGACAGTTGCAAGGGGGGCTATAATGGAGAAATTCGTTTTGATTTTGAGTCTAACTGAAATATTTTGTCACAAATATTAATTAAATACGCAAATAGCCTGTTTTATTAAATGAGACTAGGGCAAAAAATCTATTCATTAAATCTAAAGCCTAGACGATATCTTCTGTAATCAAGGTGGTTTTGGTACACTTCCGCAATTATAAAAACAAAAACATAGACTAAGTTATTAATCTTTTGATATCATATCAGATTAAGTCAGTTTTGTCTCCGATTGTTATGCAGGTGTGTGTATCGACTCCAGTGAACAACATTAAGTGAATCAATCCTTGAAATTCCCAAATTCATTCCAAATTCTGGCCGTTAACCCCCCCCCCCCCCCTCCCCCATGTCTCTTAATTACATTTATTTTGCAAATGATATATAAATTATAGATTAAAATATTTCATTTTCGAATTGCACAAAGGGCAACATGTGAAGATAAAACCGCGATCCTAAAGCTACTTGCGAAACAAAGTGGTTTATGGTCCCCAATATCATTATTATATTAATACCAATACAATGTACCTCTATGAATATCATAAATTTACTCCTTTTTAATATCAATAGTCAAACAAATTAAGTAGTATGCTACAGTTGGTTATCAATCGGAGTTCACGACCTATTGATTACTATTTAATACAAAATTTAACCATTTTAGAATGGGTAACTCACACCCCTCCCCCCCCCCGTCCATGTCCATGTGAAGTGCGTAGACTGACATAATAGTGCCATTTATTAATTAAACATCACTGATTTATGTTGAGACATTCAGTGCGATTATTTCATTTCTTTGTTCAAAAAGTTAAAGCACCAATTAAATACATATTTTTATCACACAAAAGGGGCAGAATACTTGACCTTGTATCAATTCATATCCCGATAATTCTTTACAAGGGAATGTTTCTTATTAAAACATAAGCAGCGCCTAGGCGTCGATTGGGGGGGGGGGTCAATCCGGTGTTCTCAGGCTATGTACAGCCAAGTATCCTGTTTATGTAAGAACCCTACGTTCCCGAATCACAATCAGACAATTAATTAGTATATTTGCTGTGTCTAGCAATTGATCATAGAATTAGATGTTGCGAAAACAATGGGAACTTGTACCTGTCTGTACAACAAAATAGTCTGTTTAATATTTGCTACATGTACTTGTTCCAAACAGTCTGCGAAAGAATGATTAAAAAATATATCGATTAAAAGTATCAGAGAAAATACTTGCAATCGTTAAAATACTGTATGTATTGCTATTGGTAATTAGGTTAGTTGTTTACACATAATTATGTTGTTCAGTGTGCCAAGAGCGTGTCAAGAGATTCCATTAATTGTCACAGGGCGTGCAAAGACTTTTTGACATGGTCTTTACACGTCTTTGCACTGCGTGTGCCAAGAAGTGCAAAGAGGTGTAAAGAGTTGAATTCATCGCGTGTCAAGAGGTGTAAATAATTGGCACGTCTAGAAACCCGGCGTGTAAAGACCAGTTTCTAGACGTGTCAAGAGTTGGAATCCCATATTTCACGCAGTGCATGATGTCGAGTTATTTATGTGCATATATGGACAAGATGTGCAGTTTTTATGTGCTTTTAGAAATTTTGTCAATGATATCCAGTTTTTTTGTGCATTTTGAACTTGATGTGCATGAGCATTTCTTATGTGCATTTAGAAATTATGAACATGATGTGCAGTTGTTTATGTGCATTTAGAAATTATGAACATAAAACTGTATACATTTGTTATTTAAGAAAATGACATTTACATTTGTTATTCAAGAAAATGACATTGTACATTTGTTATTGAAGAACATGACATCGTTTGCATTTGTAAGTCATGAACATAAAACTGTATACATTTGATATTCATTGCCAAGGCAATGTATTCTTTTGTTATTTCAGTACATGCCATTGTATGTATTTGTCATTCAAGCTCATGACGTTGTATGTGTTTCTTATTGAAAAATCTGGAGACGGCATACATGTACATGGTTGTTCAAGCTATGAACAGCTGTTATTCAAGTTCTGGACAGATTCACATTTTTGTTCAAGATCTGGACATGTTATATATTTCTTTTTGAAATTCTAAATTCTAACTGAAATAAATTGTTTATTGATAATTATGTACATCTTGTATGTCTTGGATATAAATTCCAATGTCACGTGAGGAACTAGTTTAGTTAATCTCCATTTGCAAGCGCAGTTGATTTTCATAATATACATACATGTACTGGTAATCAGAAACTTTCCTGACATACCATGGAGGATCATCAAACTCGATACTCTTGTGCCATTAATTGAACAATTTAGTAAAAATATTTTTGTAAGGTTCTCTTTGGACCAAGTATTTCATTGAAAGATGGACATTACCAATATTTTGGTAGCATTCAAGCTTCATCAGCAGTTCTAGTCTTTAAAATATGAGTAATATTGTTACCAAATTGGTCTACAGGTCAACGCCGGGCAATGGAGTATCAAGTTTGAATAACGGCTGCCAATCCTCCTTGCTGACATATTTTACAAATAGTGACTGCCATTGAGGGACTATTACTGTAGCCTATGGCAGTCTGACCCAACCAAAGCAAATAAAAACAAGTGGTGACATATTGAATATTTATAGCAACTCCCTTGTTCATGTCTAATTTACGTCACACGTATGCAACAAGAAAGCGGTTTACGAAGAAGACCGACCACCAACCAGTCACTCTACACAGTTAGGTGCATTTGGTCTGTGGTCGTCTGTCTATCTTTTACATAAAGATGAGTCGATTCAGAATTAGAAGAGGGAAATAAAACAAAAACCAATGCCTTAGTAGATTTACAAGGTCGTGATAAAAATGTGTTTAACCATCCATCACATCAAAAACGCACATCAAAAACGTAACTTCGTCGTGGTCTGTAATGTCATATTTTTAGAAGACAAATTTCATTCTGATTAGTCACTTTGGAACATGATGAGAAAACGTACATGTATGTAACATTACATCATATTCAGTATGAAAATAACAAAAAGATACACTTAACATTGTCGGACTTTAAAATCACGTTGTCATCTTTTTAAAGATTAATTATTGTTAAACTTAAATCGATATCTTGTAAAACCTACATTCAATATGACAAAAAGAGCTTTCTGCCCATCAGTTCAAAAAATTCTGAGAAGACTGACCTAACATATTTCCCGGAACTGGAGGGGGTACTCCCATATATTGGAGACCTTGAGCAATGCAGATTACAGATTACAAAATCGAAACGTCAACATGTACGCATAAATTGCCAAACACAAGGACGTAGTTTTCACATAAATCGTTCAGTTACAGTGTTTACTTAAATTGTATTCGCGAATGCAACTCAGAACGCCTGTTGGCTGCTGTATAACCATGGGCTTTCAACTAGAAAACCCTTGGTCACAAAATCCATGGGCTCTATCAGAGCCCATGCAAAATCGTAGGTTAATCCGGTAGCCGACAGGCGTTCAGAGTACAAGGTTAGTCCGTTACTTCGACAACTCGTAATCATCGTATAATATGCAATTATACATGTATGACATACATCATTTTCTTCGGAAAGCGTCTGTGCATTGAAATCAAAATTGTCTCCAAGTCTCCAATGGTTTTATTGGCTAAAGTGGGTCACTTTTTCACTGAAAAATCCTTACGCCGGGATCATAAGGGTCCCATTTTGAAGAAAAAAATAGACGTGGCACTGAAAACGGCTTAAGTGTGAAACAAATTTTGTTAAAAATTCAAAAAAGCATTAAAATTATTTTTTCAAATAGACATGTAGTATGTATCTGTATACATTTATACACACGTCACTGAAAGCATTGAAGTAAACTCCAAGGAACAACAGGTGGAATTTCAAATTGAAATTAGGGGCCGTCTCAAACGTGACGATTTTCACATTTCAAGTCCGTGATTAATATGCCAAGATATTCACATTAGAATGCAACATTGTCAAAAAACCAAGGACTTTCCTCATGCTACTCTACTGTCCTTTAAAATCATAAATGAATTTGGACTACAAGTATTTTCCTTTTGATGTACATCACTTGTCGACATGAGACATCTGAATCCATCATTTTTCTCGATTTTTTTCATACGTTGTGTTTTTAATTTGAGTAAAATTGAAAGGGGTCGAAACTATTGGAACATGAATTGATTCGGCCATGAAAAATGATGCTTTAGACGAATAGAAAATGATAAAAAAAATATTAGGGGTCCCGGGAGCATTGATCATTAGGCTGGATCAACATTTTTCCGCGTGTCGTTTTTCACAAGAAAATTGGAAACAAATGACAATGAGTTATATGTTCACTAAAGATAAGTTTTTATTCACGGATGGGCATTTTTGATGACTATAGCTAGCTGAATTGAGAAACAAGATTGTATTTGTGTCTTATATTTTCACCTTTATGTTTAATTTTCCTTCAAAACTCGACCAGCATGAATAGCAGAATCGTGCCGTGTTTCACTATCTCCAAGGAAAAAGCAGTTACGTACATGTTTTAGCTTATATACAGTACATGTTACATACAGTGTATGTGGACTCATATGCAATCATAGTTTATACCATGTATGTACTGACACATTTTTTCTATTTTCAATAACTATGTGCAAACCACATTATTTATCTTTTTTAAATCAACTTCCCAAAAATGTCACTGGTTCAAAAAACCAGCTTTTTTACATTTTACATCGATGGTGCAAATGCCAGGTCGTCAAGCACCCATCACCCTAGTTCCCTTTTAATCTCTTATCGTGTATAAGGTAAGACACTTTGATTTGTTTTTTACAATTTGAGAAACTTTTTACGATGGATGTAGACCAGCTGCAGGGTGACGTAGTGAAGTCTTTTCTGCATGCACCGCAAACAGCAGGGCAACCATACATGTTCATTCCCAAATGGCATTAACGGCATTCAATCATGCATCAGAAAAGTCAGTTTTAAAGATTTCAAATTTAAAGAGAGACTTTTTCATTTAAAATACTTAAACGGTATCTCTACTTGATTGTACATTATCATTTGAAAGATATAAGGATGATATTTCTGGCTTATTTAAGTCTGACGAAGCCAAAGGATGAAAATCATCTGCACTGTGAATATGAAATTTTATTTTCTTCTGCGGTGCACTTCATCGATGTCCCGATCTCATCACACTTTTTGGACATTTTTCATGGCGACCGAAAACGTTCTTATAGTTATGTTTTGCTTCATTCGAGCTAAGTCGCCAGAACGAATTATTTTTGTCAGACTCGATACTTTTCCAATGGTTTCTGATATCTAATCACAAAACTCTCAGCATAAACTTAATTCTTTCCTGCGATTTTCAGTTTTTCTTTGACGTTCTGGAAGTTTAATTTTCGGTGCAATGGGTTACCCCGGTTTTGCTTTAGAGAGAGAGAGAACCTTGAAAGAATTAATCTCGCTTTGTTGGCTACATTCTCGAAGCGTGTATTTTGGGTTTCTGATTTCTTTTTGCTAGTCGGTTGGCGATATATTTCAAAGAAGAGTGTATTTTTGAATTGCTTGCCATACATTTTCTTTAATATTCTCGGGCATAGCTTAGTTTTTGCTTTTCTCTGTCTCTTTTCCAACGAATTGCGTTTCTCGAAGGCATATTGAATATTACAGATCATATACAGATCGTGCAAATGGAATTCAAGAAAATAATAATTAATTATAACACAAAAACATCGTTGAAAAGCTTTAATCTTTCATATTACTTAATTAGAGTTTTCGGTTTATGCTGTTCTCCATTAATAATAATTGCATTAATTGAAAAGAAAACAGAATGCAAACATTAGGGGGCTTTATGATTGATTTCAGCGATCCCCGGGAATACACTGAACGAAACGTTATTTACTGAGGGTCAACTATTTTTGGCTTTAAATAATGGTCTTCATATAACATTTTTTGTTATTACTTTTCCGATAAATTATGCTTATGGAATATCTTAATAACTTGTCATTTGCTTGCATGTTACGTATTATTGTAAAGACGTATAAATTGTAAAAAGCACATTTACAAAAGGGCAAATTCGTTAGCTGTTATCGTTTCCTTATCTATAAGTTGATCTTTATGCGTAATTACTGAATAACTGCTGAACATGTGTTTTAAGAATATGGGTCATCATATAAAATTAAACCAATTCATCTGGGATTTATAAAAATGGCTAATCATTGCTTTGAGTTCCGGCAATGCTAAAACCGTGACGTTTTTCTCGCGTGACGTTTGTCACAGTATTAGTTCATAGATGGGGTAATGCTGGTTATTTCGAAAATCCTTTTTTGTTATGATGGAGTGGACATATTGTTTTCTTGGAAATTGCCTTATTCCCATCAAGACTACTGTCAATATATGAGTAACATCACGGTCGTTTTTCACAAGCAAAACGGTCACAGTGAATCTTCAGAATTTATCAGATCATGCTCATTATAATCCAATCACAACTATTATCACGATTTGTGACACGATGGTCTGATAAACTGAACTAAAGACTTGATAAATACAGATCATTTATTTATTTCGAGTTTCCCTACTGCCGTCTGGGCCCGTTTTAACGACCGTGACGTTTTTCACAGAAATTTTTTTACATTTAGGCTACTATAATGGGTATATATAATCGGTAGTAGGTGAGAAGCAAATACACTGCTGTCATCACACCGTCTGACTGAATGTTTTCTATACCAACAAAACAAAAATGAAAATATGCGACCATTTATGACTGAGATATGACATGTTTTCACAGGCGTGTTGTCCCGTTTCATCAACAAATTCACGAAATTCACAACTTATTCGCGAGTTATCAAAGTTATTTACAACCGGAATGAGAAAAAAATCCCTTGATGTGGGTAGATACTTTGAATCTCAGCTGCACCTCCCTGTACAAAAAGTTAACCAGTGCCCCCCCCCCCCCCCGGTTAGTTCCCTTGAAAAAGTTCCACGCCTACTCTGAGAGGTTGTGGATGGACTGCTCATTTTACGAACGAACTTCGGCACGCGAGTTCTGTCGTTCGTTGAATCAGCGTAACCAATTCAAGATGGCAGCGTCCATGGAAAAAGAGGTAAAATTCAACATCTAATTGTTTTCACTGTCTTAGGCTTGACTAACCACATATACACGTTACTCGATTAATAGTGGTAATACTATCCTTCTTATTTTGCACTTTTTATCTGCTAACATCTGAATGATAGAAGAATCAAATCATAAAGGCCTATAGATTTCTATTTGTTTCATAAATTTATGGGTCTACAGTACCCCCATAAATGTGGGGTCGAATTGGCGTTTTTTCTTATTTTTTAATATTTTAGTGCACAAGAATGATAAAATATAAGAAAAACGCCAAATCGACCACACATTTATGGGGGTAGTCTACAGTGGGGGACATAAAGTATACAAAACAAATTCTTACTTCAGTGTATTCAGTGCTCTATTTTATTCGTCCTAGTAAGTCCAGATATAGTCGAATTCGTGTCCATAATGACAAATAAGAACTTAAATATTTGAATTTGAATTCACATTCCTATTTTATAAAAATGTATGCATATGGCAATATTCATCAACCAGTAGAACTGGCAAATCGTTTAGAATCTACATGGAATCTACAATTCCATACAAGGAGTCCCACTCATAGATTTTTCAAATTCTTTCCAAGTCGACGTCGAAACACCTAGCGGGTGAAATTGAAACTAATTTTTCTGGCTGCTCGAATCGATAAAATTTCTGATAGTGTGAGTCTTTTTATGAAATCTTTCTGATAGAAAACACTTAATTAATATTAGAAAGCATTAAATGTTGAATCCGAAGCGTAATCTGAAATAAAAGTGAAAAAACATTGCGCGGACGTCAGAGAAAAACTTCCGGTTTAATAAAAAATGGCGGACGTCGAAGGAGAAATTATGACGAAGAATTAGAGGATTTTCCTTTGCCATTATCGATCGTTATAAGGTATGTGCACAAATTCTAGTAGCATACATGGAAAATAGATACATTTTTAAAGGCAACAACATATTCAAAGCTTTCATTTTACGATAGGCCCAGGATCATTGAATACGACTCGGCAATCGATACTCCCACTTCAAATGTTGAGGGGAGCCAATCCACATTGCGGCGCAATCGGGCTCCCCTAGAATGCAACATGACACGTGTCAGCTTTCAAAATGCTGTTCCGCCATTTTGAAATCTGTCACAAGTAAATAAGGTTACCCGATGTTGCATTCTGGGAGTCAATCCTCCTTGGATCACAAACATGGCGATTCATGAAAACATTCATTCGTTTTGGTAGGGATTTATCCATCTTATTTAAGATCATGGCAGAATTTAAAATTCAAATTGCAATTAGAGAAAAATAGCTGACTGGTTCACAAGTTTTACTGCTGATTTTCGAAAAAAATGATGTAAATCCATGTAGTTTTTGGAGAAAAACGAATTGTTCAAACTGCACAAGGTGAAATAGACTATATATTAATTCAGAAGCATGTAAGCTTTATTTACAAATCATTACATACGTTAAAGGGCATCATCAACTACTAGAAAACTTTGTGACGTGTAAAGTTGGACAATTTTTGTCCGGTGGCTGATCCATCGCAGCGCCTCTAGCGAACGAGCCTTTGTGATGTGAAATGCCCGGCTGTATGTGACACGTTCACTACCTCTGAGACCATAATGTATATGTAGATGTAGACAATATACATTGCCCACTCCAATCATGTAGAACATTGAGTGTGACAATCACCAGAATCTGAGCTATATTCATTGACACTCATAAGTGTTTGTGCATTTTACTTTACAGGATACCATGTACAAATTTGAGCTAGAGGTTTTATGGTGCATAAATCAGTTGGAACTTGGGGTTCAGAACAGTAAAGGTGGACCAAAACAAGGTAAGTCTATTTATGCAGGCTTCATCACAGGTGTATGGACATATTTTATAAGTCAGGTATTTTAAGCATACCGGCTCTTCAAAAAAATAATATCTACTGCATACACATTTCAAAACCACGTTGTGTAGCAACACATATCATTTGAATGCATATAACATATTTTTTATTATTTTTTAAAGTACAAAGTAGCCTGAAGCTGATCAAGGTCTTAAGGAATCCCAAGACACCTATGGTGAAAAAGCGTCAGGTCATGAACAAAACCTTTGGAGACTATAGAAAGAAAATGGCAGACGAACAGAAAAAATATGGCTCATGTATGTACTTGATAGAAAAACTGAAATATATTGAACAGTTTTGAAACCGTGCTGGGGATGTTCAGCCTAAATACAGTCTCATAAAATAACTTCTGACATTGTCTTTACTCAGGGAAATATGTAAATATATATGTATACAGCACCTTTATGCATTTATTTTGGTAAGTGTGAATATATTCATTTGCTTCTGAAAGCCCATGGCAGTATCTGCAATAATTTTGAAAAAGGACGATTCTCGGTTTGGAGAACGAAGTTCATCAATCTAAATGAGCATTATCCCTGCTTCGGACAAATTTGATTTTTTTACATAATATAGATTTGAATGTCTTCTTTTGAAAAGTCATAATTTAATTTGGGTAATATTTCTAGATTTTTCTCAAAAAAATATTAGCGCAGTACACTGATGAACTTCTTTCCCCAAATCGAGACTTGTATTTTATTGAATCGGTCTAATTGAGCGTTATCCCTGCTTCAGACCAATTTGTTATTTTTACATCTTGTAAATTTAAATGTCCTTTTTTGAATATTCATAGTTTAATTTGGGTAATATTTCTATATTTTTCATGAAAAAAATTATTAGCCCAGGAGACTGGTCTCCAAACCGAGAATCGTCCTTTATATGTTTTTTGCATCTGTAGCTACACTATCACTCTGTTATCTTTTGTGATGTACAAGTCATATGTTAATGTTTATTTCAGCTGTGAAAAAGATGTCTATTAATCCTATATCCTCCAAGTCTGCCCAGTCAACATACTACAAAAGGTCAACACAAAAACCTGATTCAAATATATCAGAGTCTGACAAAGAAACTCCAGTGCAAAACAGCATCAATCTTGCTATTGAAATGGACAAACCAAATTCAAGTTATAACTATGAACCACCAAGTAAGGAATTTAAATTTAATTTCCAAGTGCAGTCAGTAGATGCAGTGGAAGCTGTTGATGAAGACATTGGTGCAGATGTTAAGAGTATTGAGGAGACACTACAACAAGCTACTTTGGATGCAGAGTCTAATGACAATATGGATCATGGTTCTCTAGAAACCGGTACAAATAAAGTGCAGCATCAACCAAGTGAAAAATATTATACACCTTCGGACAATGCATTCAGGTTCAATTTTCCAGCTCCTGACCCTTCTTGACCTAAACATTAAAACTATACAAGTGAACATATAAAGTTTCTTGTTGAGAGATGTTCAGTGGAATATACAATTAAACAGAACCAGCTTTTCCCATTCACATGTTTATTTTGTTTATATCTACAAATAATTAGTTTTTTTCTACAGGGTGGGCAAAAAACAATACCCAAGTTTGAAGATGAATAACATATGATATATGTTAAACCATGCCATGTATTTTATATCACATTTAAGATAAATCATACCCTAACTGGATTTAAAAATGGTGGGAAATGGAGGGAAATTTGAATTTTGTCACCTTCAAAAGAGGTACATTCATACAAGTTTGGTGCAAAATTCATTCATAATACTTATATATTTTTAATTAACTAGTAGCCCGGACAGAATTGTTCAATGGTCACTTTTTCTGGTGTCATCGATTACCTCGGCAGCTTACCACCAAAGCAGCAGTCTACATTATTTCGTAGGACTATGACATTTCTTAAATATTAACTTTCAACTGAACATTCATCCTCCGATCACAGGGCTTCAAAATCTAGAATATATTCTTTCTTTTTAACCCCCTGCGATAAGCAGTTAGCATTTCCCTGATTAAGAACTCGCAATCTGATTGGCTGTTGCAACACTGCGACAGAAATCATGTATAAGTCATTGCGCATAGTTAGATCACATGATTCAGTTTAATCGGTCTTCCAAATTGGTTATAGCAGGGGGAAGAAGGAGGTATGGATTCTGGACACCTGCTTAGGAGGATGCTGAAGATTCAAATTCACAAAATAGGTCGCCATTTTGAACAAATATGAGACAAAATGATGAATTATGTATTTGCGCCAGTCATACTATGAAAACCTATAATATCAATAAATTAAGAGATGTTCCATAACTATTTTTTTGTATGTTAGAATCTTACTCTAGTTTTCAAATATGTGATCAGACTATGATAATACTGAAAATTAAAAAAGTTATTAAAGAAAAAGTGACCATTGAACAATGCTGTCCGGGCTACTATCAATCGTATATTATTCTTGAATAAATTGATAATGATTCAGTCAAGCATATTGAGTGCAGCTATTGACTGCAATATGGAGGGAAATTTCATCTTTTGATGAGTGGTCGCTAATTACACCCCTGGTGTCATTATTTAGCTTCTAACTCCACAAGAAAACAAAGGTTTTCAATCAAATGGTGTCATATTGTTAGGAAATGATATATTTTGAAAATGATTGTAATACATAGCATGGTTTAATATTTAAGACTCCATTTGTAAGGCAAACAATTCAATAAGGTTGTTAACATGCTTATCGTGGCTTTTGGTGATACAAAACTGTTTCGACTTTATGTGATGTCAAGGACAAAACATCAATAATGTACCTTGCCTATTATTCAATAATCAAACAACAGCAATCCTGTTGAATTAGGTTAAAAATGACACAATTGGTGATTTTTATCATATATTTTTACAAGAATATTTTTTTTATTATGTGAACCACTATGCTACATTTTCAGTTATGGCCGCCAATTTTAAGTGAGTGAGATGGGATAACTACAATGGGAACAACTTGAATGTAAAATAATCATACAATGAGTCAACAATACAAGTTTTACAATGTTTATAAAAATAATACAATAAATATCATATGCAAATTATTTCTAATTAAATCCATGAATATAGAAGAACTATATTCATGGATCTCTGTGAATGATTGTTGAATGTTTCATTTCTTAATGGATTTTTATGAATGTTTATTTTTGCTCTTTATCTATTCTTGAACTTTCCTGAATAACATTTCCAGAATTATGATTTCAAAAGCTAGATTCAGTAATGCCTGTGAATATTTGTTGTATGGTTCTGAATGCATCATCAAAAAATGAAACATTCACCACTTATTATTCATAAGGATTCTTATTTTTTTTATTTATTTTTTTATTCAGTTTTATTCATTAAAATTAAGGATTCTTATCATTAATCATTAATATTTTTCTTTTAATCACAAAGCTATGAATTTCTCAAGTATCATAATTCATTTCATTTCAAAAGTTCATTCATTAACAATTCACACACATTTAATATATAATCTAGTATATACGTATAATATTTATTTTGACTTATGTATGTACCCATGTATGTATTAATTATTTTGCTAAAAAAACAATCAAATTATGGCATAACGCTTAAAACTTTCAACATACATTCCTGAGGATATAGTTAATTTGTATTAGAATTGTTGAAATGATACAACAATCTATTCATATATTTGAAGAAGCAGTTATGACCTGTCGTATGGTTCCACGGAGCAGTTTTTCATCAGTGTATTTTAACAAAAACATAGAAAATCGCAACAATTTCATTTAACTTTTGACTAAATTGTTATTGAACCAATACCAACTCTTTGTTTAATTGTAAGTATCGCGATATCATAGTACTATATAATGTATAAATCAGTTCCATTGTGACTATTATATGACATCATACGTGACATCATATCATGTCATATTTGGAAACTCCAGAAGGCCATAACGAAGAAGTGCCTGAGTCTTCTTGGTAGGGCAATTCTACACTGGGACAATGCCCCCAACTCATAGATCCCTGAAGACCCAAGAGACAATCAAGAAGCTATCGATAGAACCTCTTTATACAGCATCCTACCGTACCAGATGTTGCACTTTCAGATTTCTATCTACATGAGCTATATGACGATCTAAAACAACACATCAATACTACCAGGTACCATGATAAGGCTCAGTTAAGGAAAGCTTTGCAGTCTTCCTTGGGCGATATGGCCAAAGATTGAACAACATCTTCCAGTCCTTGGTCGAGAGGCACCGTGCCATTCTAGCTAATAATTGGTGATATGACATGAAGTGACTGTCCAATAAATAAGATGTTTGTGACTTTTCAAGTTGATAGACTAGTATAGGCTACGATTTGACTATTTAATTTGACCGACATTCTGTCATCTAGAGATTGAACAACATCTTCCAGTCCTTGGTCGAGAGGCACCGTGCCATTCTAGCTAATAATTGGTGATATGACATGAAGTGACTGTCCAATAAATAAGATGTTTGTGACTTTTCAAGTTGATAGACTAGTATAGGCTACGATTTGACTATTTAATTTGACCGACATTCTGTCATCTCGAGAGAATAAAAAGTCACAATTAAAAGCTTTTTAAAACAAAATTTTACAAAAACCCTGCAGACCCTCGCTGGGGGTTACCATGGCAAGAGCAGCAGAGACAATATTTATTTTTATACAAAATATATAGCAAATAAAAGCTGTATATATTAATACCATACTTTTTACTTTAGAAACTTTAATTTTTCGAGCAAAATTATTAAAACATATGGGACACCTTGTACACTTTTATAACAGTGGCATTTTTTGCATGCAAATATGCGTAGGGATATACATGTAGATACAATTTATATTCAATGAATTACACAAAAACCATTCATTTAAAATATTTAATATACACCGTTTTAACTGACACACTGACATTATATATATTTTTTTTTTATTATTTTTTTTATTTCAAAGAATAAGCATGTTAAAGCAATTGCAAAAAACAATTACAGTACAGTTACATGGTAAACCTACATTTAACAATTTTACAATACAGTATTGGTTAAATATTTAGTCTTCAGGAGACATTATACAATTGGCTTTTTTATTAGTTTCAATTCGGGAAAAAGAGATGCACTCAACTACTGAAAGAGCGTCACATTTAGAAGATACATCTCTAAACTCTAAAACTAACCTTTCCTTTTTAAAGTTGGGGCATAAGTCTGTGTCATTACTGTTGTCGTGAGAACAAATACCATTACTTTTCTTCAAACGTTTATTATCCTCTACTGTAGGGCCAAGAGGATGTCTTATTTTCTCAAAACGCTTAAACATTTCGATGTATAAGTTTCTAAAAATCATACTTTTTTCCATAGAAATGACACTGAAGATACAGTACACCGTCTCCTTATGCCCTAACTTTAAAGAGGTTCATGGGGAGGCTGATTGCTGAACCCCTCTGCCCATATATCTGTACGGACGATAACTCATATGCCTTTTCCACGCTAGGCCTATATAACTTTCACATTTGATAAACATTTGCCCAATGGAGTGTATGTTCAGTTGAAAACTGATTTTAAAATATTTAGTGACGATTTAACAATTTTTTGATAGCACAAACAAATGTGATGTTGTTGTGGGTTTACTGCAAAATTATATTATTTTGATTCCAGCACCTATAATGCTATAGCAGCCATCTTGAAAAATGCTGGACACTAATATTCACTAGCAATCTACCTGTTCAAGTGGGTCACCAAGGGTCACAGAAGCCCCCAAAGCACCCCCTTGAAATGCTACCTGAATATTGATCGTTTGACCTTGACTATTTCTTGAATTGAGGAGAACTTGTTGAAACGCTAATTACTTGGATATTCACCTATGACCTTGAGATGATCTTGGCCCATAAACATTGCCAACAAAGGTCACAGTATCCTTCAAGTGCCTTAAAACGCCAAATACTTCGATATTGACCTTTGGCCTTGAGATGACCTTGACCAGTATAACGTTGGCCTTGACCTCAGGTCAACTCATCATGGGTAGCCAAGGGTCATAGCAGCCCCCGGGATCTTAAATCGCCAAATACCTAGTTATTGCCCCTTGAATTGCCCCTTGGCCTCAGGTCAGCCAATCATGGGTCTCCAAGGGTCACAGCAGCCATCGATGTCCTCGAAATACCAAATACTTAGATGTTGACCTTTGACCTTGAGATGGCCTTGACCCATAAACATTGACCTTGACTTCAGGTCACCTTATCATTGGATGTCAAGGGTCTCTGTAGCCCCAAAGACCTTAAATCACCAAATGCCGAGATATTGACCTTTGACCTAGGAATAACCTTGACCTCAGGCTATCTAATCATGGGTCGCCAAGGATCACAACAGCCCAAAGATGCATTAAAACGCCAAATACCAAGATATTGACCTTGGAAAGACCTTGACCCATAAAGATGAGCTTGACCTCAGGTCACCAAATCATGGGTCGTCAATTAGCACAGACCATCGGTCTTAAAAGCCAAATACCTAAATATTGACCTTTTACCTTGGAATGACCTCTGGCCTTCGTAGAATACCCACCGACCCACTAAGTATGTTGACAAAGTATGAGGGCCCAAGGCCAAACTGTCGCGGAGATGTCCGGACAGACAGATGTACAGACAGACCACCGTGCTTTATAGTAAGGAAATGTTATTTTGGATTTATTTATCCCGCTAAGAACCGTTTACGCAATAAATGTAACTACCCCAACGGAATAGTAAATGAAGAATAGAACTGATTAACTTCTATTGTTTGAATGGTCAAAAAAGTGAATGGAAAGGGATAAAAGTTATCGCCCGGTATTGAATTAGTTCAGTGCAATTTTAATTTCATTGATATAATTTTATACATATTTTAA